CGAAAAGTGCACCTTTTTGAGAGACTGTATAAAAGATGGACAGATTGGCGTAATCGCTTTTGATTGGAGTTTGAGCCGGGAAGTCAAATGTAGAAAGAAAACTGTGGCTGCGTCTCTCTTAGTCGACAAAGAACGCCAAAAAAAAGAGCCAGTTGGTGAGTTCTACATCAAGAATACAGTCTGGATGACGCAAAAGACTGGAAAAATATAAAACTGGCTTATTCATCTACTCCTGGCCTCTGGTACCAGCAAAACATTCAATATGGAGAAGCGATTTTCAAGCAATAATTTGCCTTTCTTTTTAAAAATCACAATTTTTAGATACAGATAAATATGGTTTTAAAGCTGACAAAAAAAAAAAGTTTGGTTCAAATGTGTGTATGCATAATGGTTTTAAAACGTTTTTCTCTGGTTTAAAGTGAAGCTCAATGACTTTCCAAATTGTGAAGATGGACAGAGGCGATTTTTGAGCAAGCACCAGTTAGACCCGCCCCCACAGCTTCCTGATTGGACGCAATTAATTCAAATCCCTGACAGACAGCTGAGGCCCCTCACAGTCCATCTAACTATTTTCACTGGTGGTGGTTATTCCAAGGGGAGGGACCATTTTAAATATATTTGTTATGAAAAATACTAGTAGAGTACATTCCGAGCTTTGCACTAGTTTGACATTTAATTTATTTCGGCCTTTGTGTAAAATAAGTTTAACAGCCCTGCCTTTGAGAATAAAAGCAGCCAGTCATAAATTCACAAAAATCTGATCCAGAACTCCAAAGAATTAACTGAAAACAAGAACTTTTCCTCAACTTTTCCCACAGAGACAGATCCTGGCACATGAGAAGGTTGGCTCCGGTCTTTGATATCATTGATGTAGTAAAATACATGGTAAAAAAATAACTTTCATCATTTTTCTGTCTTTTTACATTATTGCTCATGTCATGTGATTGCATTTCATTATTTAGAGCCACCTCTCACTGTACACACACCTTTTCCACTTCGACTTCCATTATTGACTTTTGTACGGTCTTAAAACCATGGAACAGAGACTGAGACTGAGACGGGGCCAGAACATGGAGAGAATTTAAATAGTATACATTAACCATAAAATATTAATGTATACTGTACGCGCAATAGCTTTAGCTCAACAACAGAAGTGGAGAGTATCTAATCTGTACTTCAATACATATTATTTTTGACAACTTTTCACTTTGGGTTTTATTTTTCATTAAAACGCAAATATCCACTTCCTGCTTCTTCCATTTTGACAAAGTTTAGTAACAGCAGACGACGACGGCACAGCATTAAAAACAAAGAGAATCTCAAAACTGCAGGAGAAAGCTCACCCAATGTCACACGGACTAAATGCAGGCTTGTTCTAAGTTCATGCACTACTTGTGGTTAGCCCTGCTTCTAAAATAAATAAATGTGGTTATCCCCGCTTAGAAGGGAATCCAACACCTGGTTAGCTGTGCTTCCTAGTTAATTGCCGTCAGCCTCGCTTCTAAGTGAGTTGAATAACTGGTTAGCCCTGCTTCAAAGTTGATTAATTAAACGGTTAGCCATGCTTCTAAGTAAATTGTGTCATCCGGGTTTCTTTCCAAGTTAATTAATTAACAAATTAGCCTGGCTTCGCAATTGATTACATTGTGAATTAAATCATTGTGGTTAGCCATGCTTCCAAGTTAGTTAACTGTGGTTAGCTATGCTTCCAAGCTGCCACCTCTGCTCGCAAAAACCTACAACATTTCTGTATTAAAGTACTATCCAGCGTTTGGAGTAGGGAGTGACCATTGCAGCAACAGCAAATACAGCACAACCACGATTAGCAGCGCTTCTAACCAATGGATGGAATTGAAAACAACCACCGGTGTGACGTGGTATGGACCGGTTTGGAGGTAGAAAAAAAACCAGCGGTAACAAACGTCCATCTTTTATACAGTCTGAGGTGCATTCGAGTGGTCCTGGGACACTGGCTGCATCCCAATCCACTCCCATACCTCCTTTTCAAAGAAGGTCTTAAACTGATCCGTGCATTCTCTTGTAACGTGTCACTGTGTTTTGAGGTCATATTTGTTGAAAAAGAGCGGAGGAAAACCAGATTAGGGAGACAAGTTCATTTCACTGGACTTTTTCCTCATTCAAAAAAGATAAAAAAAATTCCTTCATCCATCTGGTTTAAGACTGACAAAATGTACTACACTTCACACTTCACCCATTTCAAGCATTTTTGCAGTATTGTCACTCAAAATAAAAGTTTATCATTGCTTTGAAGTTTGGGGGGCACAAGAAGAAGAGTTAAAATATTCTAATTCCACCGATGTAAGTTTGTGTCAATTATGAGTCTAATTGAAACTAACCTTTTTCTGTCAAAAAGTGACAAAAAAATGCAGAAATGTACTTATGTTGACTTTTGACTCAATAACTGAAGGACAAAACAATACTTTAGGTCTCCATAGTAACCAGCTGTGCATTTTTAAAAATCCATTTTCCATGTTAAGTTATAAGGCTGTAGTTGTATATGGTTTGACTATTTGTGACAATTTTCTTACTATCATTTATAATTGTAGCGACAGACAAAACACAAGGAACCGACAGAGACCTCCGTAGCATAAATGAGCTTTGTGTTAAAGTCGACTTGACCAAACCAGGACCTTCCTCATCTCATAAAAAAGTACATTGTATAGGACGAGAAAGGAATTAGTTCAGTGAATTGGGATGCAGCCAATGAGTCCGGGTGGCTGCGGTCAGAAAGAAGAGCAGAAAAGGGAGGGGCCGCCCTGAGCACTTCAAACAGTCAAAGCCCCAATTCACCTGATGGGGGCGCTATGGCAACAGTCTGATGAGAGCATGATAATTGATCATAATAATGGCAGTATTCATGTATTAAAAATGAGAGGAAACAGGAGTTAAAAGCAAAGTAAGACCACAGTGAACTTTGGAGACGTCACCAAAGTTCTTTTTAAAATAGTTGTTGTTGTTGGCTCAGCACTAGTGGAGGTTAGAGGATGTTGGCAATACATAGACAAACTAAATGTTACCGGGCCTCGTTCGCGAAAGGCTGTATACGTTTAAAAGCCATGTACCCGGTTTTTGCCGTCTTAAATGAGGCAAAAAGAGGAGAAGGGATGCCGAGGGATTTTAAAAAGTCTGGGAGCGGATTGGAGGAGAGAGAAAGTGCGCCTCTCTTTTTCACTTTTCTGTCTGAAAAAGCAGAAGCCAAACGATACACACCGTTGTAAGAGCTGGGATTTGATTATATTGGTAATTGGTTGAGGTTTTGGGTACCCCAGCTTTAAGATTACGCTAAGAAAAGAACTGCTTTAGTCGGTCGGGAGATGATGCTGGGTCAACGGAGCATGCTGTGTTTCTGTTCCAATTATTTAAAGGTTTTAGGTTAAAAGACACAAAAATATTAGCTCATTTCTCAGTTTGCTTTGAGTAGTAGTCACTGCTCTATACTGCAAAAACCACAGGAAGTAATGCAGAGTTTTAAAGTGGAACCCAGCCAACTGAGATGTCGTTAAATTCATAGATAATTCCTGTTTTTGTGAGCTAATTATCAACTTAAACATTTATTAATTCCTAACAAGTGTGTAGATTAGAATACCTCTACTTATGTCGTATCTGCAGCTCGTGTCCAACCAAGACGTTAGATTATTACTGTTAAAAATGTTTTTGTTTTTCATTCCACCTTAAAAACATATCCGCCTTAACAATGGTAGGCTTTAGTGAAATTTTGGACTTAAGTGCTTGAACGAGAGCGTCTTCATTTGATTATGTTTTGACCCGTTAACATTTGGCATTGGGAGCACACAATGTCTCGTTTTACTTCCAATCATAAAACTCTTAAGTGCTTAAACGTGCTTTTTCCATCGCCAAATCTTAACTGTCAGATTGTAAAAAGATTAGAGAGAAATATCGCTAAATCCAAGCGACAGTGAGAGCACGATGGGATAAATAAATGGTATGTAAACAAATTAATTCTGCTTCTAAAGACGTTGTGATTACCATAGTATGATTTTGTTTCCTATGAATGTAGAGTGACCTGAATAGTCTGGAGTCACTTTCTCGACATCTATAAAATGTCATCTGAGGCGTTGCTATGGTAACACACTGCATGGAGCATAAACGGTTAATCTAAAACTTGCATTATTAGGTAACTTTGCAAGGATGTTGAAAATCAGTTGCTAAATGTAAGAAAACTGTCTTTTCTCATCTGTGGGTCTACATTTTAGATAATGGCAACAGTTGCTAAGGAGCATCAGCCTGGCTCCCTGCTAACAAATTAGTCCCTTTACCGACAAACAATATATATTTTCTACCAAGTTGTACATTTATAGAGTTTTTGACCACGGTATAAGCAGAATAACTTTGTTAACATCAATAAAACATGGGACAATTAATATAATTTTGTCCTGAAAAGCCAGATGTAAAGTCCATAGTTAAGAGTCATCCCGCACTGTCTCTCGCGTTTGCCCAAACACAACACAGCAAAGATGCAAAAAAGAAAAACCGGTACATGGCTTTTAAATACATGTAAATACATTGCCATGGCAACAGATGCCTGCAAGCTTCTTTAAAAACTAACAACCTTTCAAAAATAGAACAAAAACAAAAAAAAGAGAAATATATTACCACAGAAAAATAGCTCCACAAAAACGAGTCCTCCTTCTCGTAGACGTTTGGGCTCCGAAAGTCCCGTGTGCGGTGGAGAGGAGGAGTGGATGAAAATGGCGTCAGTTGTCGGCCCCTCAGACAAACAAGGGCCTCAATAGATAATATATATATTTATATTTATGTATGTGACAGTGCCCATCTGCATCCACGTCTAATAAAATCTGTACACGTTAAAGTCTTTATGATTAGTCCAAAGGGGACGATTTCCAACTGTATATTTATTAAACTTTATCTTTAATTTAGATGCTCTGAGTCCAGTGGGTGTAATTGCGTGTGGGTTGTTGGTGAGATGCCGCGTGGGCGCCGGGGAAGCGGGGAGTTTGCTAGCAGCACTTTTTCTTTCGTTTACTGTTTCGAGTGAGCCGCACCACGTCGTTCTGTTGCTGCTGCTGCTGTCGGGCCAGGACGTCCTTCTTGGCTTTGAGCACCAGCTCCGTGATGCAGTTGAACATCTGAAGGGAAAAGAAATGAGGAATGCTAACTCTGAAGCGCACTGAAAACCAAGGAAAATATAGATAAAATGTTTAAAACCCCAGCATTAATAATAATAATGAATTGGGTTTAATAAAGCGCTTTTCAGGACACTCAAAAGACACTTCACATGTAATTATTCTTTCCCTCCATACACGGTGGTGATCAACCAGTATGTCCCATCTCTGACCACCACCAACCATTCACACACACACCAGACTCATACTAGACAATGTGGGTGAAGTGTCTTGCCTAAGGACACAACAACAGCACTTTACAGCCGCCCCACTGTGGCACCTGCTGTTCCAAGAGGTCTCCCATCACAGTCCTAACCACGTCCGGCCCTGTACAACTTCAGAGACCGGATGGGATCTGGCTTCCACATGCAAGTATGGCCACAATCAGTAGAAAAAATATGGATAAACACACCATTAGCAAAAAAACAGCCATGTGGTTGAAAAAGTAAGGAATTTCAGAGAGAGATTACGGAGCCAATACTTTTGTCGACATGTGACATACGAGTGTAAAGTAGGGCTGCACGATATTGGAAATTAGAGCGATATTCGATATGAGCTTTTAGTATTGCGATATTTTTGTCTTTCACCTAAAATTGCGATCTGCATTGAAACACGAGACAAATAACAAAAAATAAGCACAACATTAATGACATTCAAATGCATATATTTATATAGTTTGTCTGTTGTTCTTGTTGAATGTTGATGTGTCTGTTTTGTCTTTAATAAAAAAATTTTTTTTTTAATCGCGCATATTTTTGATATGGATATCGCACGCACCAATATTTTTTTGATATATATTGTGCAGCCCTAGTGTAAAGATTCACCATAGCCAACCAGGTTTGAGACTGGAGCATTCAGACAGAAGGGGCGGGGGGGGTGTATATGGCAGAAGTTCCTGATATTTGCATAGATGGAGCAAAAAAAGGCATATTATGAAGAAACAATGCTGTATTATGATTAAAAGTTGCATAATAGAAACACTTGTAGAATATTTCCCAAAGTATTCTCTCATGCATGCCTTAAAAAGCAGCAGACATCATTGTGAATTGGACGTGTGTGAGTCAGAGTAAGACACAAAGCACTTAGAGGGAGAATATTGCGTTTGCCAGAGCGTAACCAAGCGACTGGCTCCTCAGAAGTGCCTTCAGTCTGCAGGCATGTGGCCCACGGAGCCGGCGCGTCACGGGGACAAAGCCTACCTCTTCCACGTTGAGATTTTCTTTGGCGCTTGTCTCGAACAGGTTGATGCCCATCTGCTCCGCGAACTTCTGCGCATCCGTCGTCTCCACCACTTTGGAGTTGGGGTCGTCGTTTTTGTTTCCCACTGCAGGCGGAAGACACATGGACGCAGTGGCGGTTAGGCAGGAGAGGACGGGGGACTTTCAAAAACAAGTAGAACCGAAGGACACTTGCCTAATATTCGGCACACGTCGTCACAGTTCTGGTTTATTTCGTGAAGCCATCGTTTGACGTTGACGAAGGACTCTGCACTGGTGACGTCGTACACCACTATGACCCCGTGTGTTCCTCTGTAGTATCTGCAAAAACAACAGTTATAAAAGGTCAGACAGCTCTGCATCGAATACAATCTGTATCTTTGGGCTTTAGAAAAATGCTAAAAATCAACATTGGCAACATGGAGGTCTCCAGGTGTAGTATAATTGTGTAGAATTGTGAACGCAAACAGTGTGAAGATAAAAAATAGACTATAAATACAATGTCCGTAACTTGAAAATCACAACTTCAAAGTTAATCAAATCGGGTAATGTTGAACACCATTTTCAGCGTTCATTTTTCAGTTACTTTTATCAAATACATTGTCACGCTCTTGCTCTGTTTCTTTAAAATGGCAAATCTGATCTCAATGAGAGTCATCAAAACCACTCAGCCCTAATATCCATTCTAGGAGACAGAATCACAGCCGAGTTGTGCCCAGACCGGGACTCAGACCATGACTGTCGCATTGGAGTCCAACCACACAGAAAGGCTTTTGTTCGTTTTGTCATGACTGAGATCATGATGCACTGAACATTCTGCAAACAGAAGCAGACTGAGCGCAACAGAAAGGACCAATTCTCAAGAAGAGTCTGACTTTTCACCTGCGATGGGTGGCATTCAGTTTATAGTTTAAAGTTGTGGTGGGTGGCGGTTAAAAATATTTCCTGGTAACTATGATGTTTCAGTTTGCTTTTGTGAAATGATCTATGGTGAACTTGTACAATAAGTTCCTCACAAAACTATAGTTCCTTGATTATTGTATTTGTAAAATGTAATCTAATTTCATTCTCCATGCTAGGACTGGGCGAGATGGCTGAAAACTATATCACAATGTAAGTAATTCATATCGGTCGATAACGATATATATTGATTGTTTTTTAACCTAAATAAACACATTTGTCGGGTCGGCTAACACACGTTATCCCCGTTTATAGTCACGGGGAAATTAAGCTGGAGGAATATGTTCACAAGCACAGTGTCCCTCATTGTTAGTCCTGGTTTAGCCCTGGTTTAGCCCTGGTTTAGCCCTGGTTTAGCCCTGGTTTAGCCCTGGTTTAGCCCTGGTTTAGCCCTGGTCTAGCCCTGGTCTAGCCCTGGTCTAGCCCTGGTCTAGTCCTGGTTTAGCCCTGGTTTTTGAGTGTCTTGTTTCCCCGTGACAGAGCCGCACGTGCATTCAGAGGTAAAAGTTCATCTCTTGCTTTCGCCGAAAGCATCGAGTCTCTGTGTCCACTGCCACTACCGCCGCACATGCTATTCCTCACACGGACGCGCATAACCACTGACACGGCATTGAAACACGATCCACGTGGTGCGGTTGTTGTTGTTTTTGCATTTCCCAGAATGTTTTGCGGTTCATACTCGGCTGTGATAGGTCGAGAAGCCTTTGCCTACAACCCCCAGAATGCTGTGCGCTTCTGACTCGGCTTCACTTCCTGTTTTTTTTTCAAACGGAGTGAAGTTAAACTATCGAACATTCTATCGACCCAGTTTTCTATTTACATCGAACATGTGTCTATCGCAATATATATCGTTATGGTTTTATCGGCCAGCCCTATTTCAGGCCCCACACACACACACACACAGGACATTCAATAAGTGCACAAAGAGGCTCACAGCGGCTCAATGCTGCATCATTTTGCAGAGGACATCACACCTTGGGCCTGTTTCACCTTGAGGCGAGAGAGACTCACGTGGAGGTGATGGTTCGGAAGCGCTCCTGTCCCGCCGTGTCCCAGATCTGCAGTTTGACCTTCTCCCCGTTTAGCTCCACCGTCCGGATCTTAAAGTCCACCCCGATCGTGGTGATGTAGCTACCTGCAGACCGACCACACACACACACACACACACACACACAGATATTTGAAAGGGAAAGTGTGAGGACAAAGCTGGAACAGAGGCTAAAAATATCACCATGAGAAAAGAGGAACTCACCTGAAAAAGTGTTGTCTGCAAATCGCAAAAGAAGACTGCTCTTTCCCACTCCTGAAAGACAAGAACAGGAGCTGGAATTAAATCAACATTGTCAAAATCTGTCCATTCAGAGCAAATAACTCTGAATGTTTGTTTTGAGAGCTGCCATTAACGAAGGTGTAAGTAACTTGAAGTGCATTTTATTTCCAAAACATTTTATATTTCTGACCATGGGGCACTGAACCATTATGTACAACCAATATTTTTCAAACAATAAAATAATTAAAGTAGTCCTTCCAGTTATATTTTCTGGAGAATAGATGAACAGATGACGAAGGGCCTCAAGGATTTTAACCAATTTCAACCATTCAGGAAGCTGGCAGATCTTCAAAAAGGGTTCACTCCCCCTTCACAATTTGACAATTAACTGACATTTAGATTACAATACTTCCTTTACGGAGAGCAAATGGTCTTGTTGTTGCCATTATACAAACATATACATGCTAATAAAAGAGAAGATTGGGGGTTCCTTTTTACATTAGTAGATTACAATGAAAATGCCCTCAGAATATGCTAAATGCAATCTTATTTTCCTGCTCATGGAAAAGGAACACATTATCTTCTCTAATCTAGTTTTAACAGTGGGATTTAAAAGAGAGAAATTGCTTGTCACGTTTCCAAAATCCATTTCTACAACCCTCTAATTTTAATTCCCCTTGTGCACTTTGAACATGATCCTAGCATGTGGTCTGATTGGTCATTTAGACATTTATTTAAGATCATGAAGCCTTGGCAGTTTCTGATCTCATTATTTACTAATCAACCCCATACAGAAGTAACCCTTTTTCTCTAAAAACTGGGATAGGATCACATGAGATTCAGGGAGCTGTAATTAAGCAAACAGCTCCTGGTGGAACTCATGTCCAATCCCTATTCACTTAAATTTACTTGTCAACACTTGTGAAGAGTTTGGCAAAGGTGAGACGGAACGGCGTTATCATTTCTCAAGGTTTAGAGAAAATGATGATCCAGACAAACACAAAAGAAGCCTGTGTTTGTTTTGAGAGCCTTTGATGAAAACACACACACTCCCCACAGCACAAACGGGACACAAACACACTGTGAGAAACGACATGATGCACACAAACTAAAAATCCCTTTGACCTTGAAGGAATATGAACAATAGGTTTCTTTGTTTTGAGATATGAATGATAAGGAATTATACCGCGGCCCGTGAGGATTCCAATTCAAACTAACATTGATTGATACTGTTTAAACTGTCAAATACCAAGTTGCGTATCATAAATTAAGTTGGTAAGAATGCTAAATATGTATCATTTTGTACAATTCATGAGTTAAACACAAGCAAAAGTCTTCCTACTCCTTCATCTGTTCTTTTTCCTCTTGTGTGTGTCTACTTTTTGGTTCTTGTGCCTCTCGGCCCGTTCATTTGACCCAATTTTCGATTTCAGGCCAAATGTGAACACAGCACTGAAGTCTCGTGAGATCCTACTTCACATAATCACTGAAGATTTGAAATGAGTGAATATCCATAATATTGTTGCACGAAAAACCGGTCAAAACTGGCTCGGACCGTGCACACTGTAAAAACAATGGGTGTGAATTAAAAAGACCAATGCAGTAGGTTGCGTTCATGTTGTAGAGTTGTATATTAATCAGAGGGCAGGGGCCAATGAAACTATGCAGAAGAAATGTTTTCCTAGATCATTATTTGTTACTGAATAGATTCATAAAGCAGCCATAATATTCATATATCAGTCCTTTCTACTTTTCCAACAACATATGTTTTTGAATGGGGTCAGAAATATACTGTTATAGAAATGCTCCTGTGGACTCACCACCTGCAGGAGGATCAGTGAGGGGCTGGTGCTAAGTGTACTGGGTGCAGCTCTGACTGACACCCCCCCGGCCCAGAAATGGATAAAGGGGAAGAAGATGGATTGATGGACTAATCTTGAACATCGTCACCACTTCTAGACACCTTTATGAGACAAATAATTGGACCCTACCGGATGTGTACTGACAAAGAAAATGTGGAACTTTATGGCAAGAACTCTGGTGTGTACAATCTGGTGAACACTGGAGTAGTCTCGCACAGTTTCTCCAATGTGGTTTTACTGCAAATGACAAATAAAATCTTGTAGTATTTTTTTTTTCTTGTGGATTGGCCCAGGAATGAGAGACGTTAGCTCCAAACTAAAACTAGAATGCTGGCGTTTGTTTTTCAGCTGCCACCCAATTGGTAGGAGAGGCCGGGGACATGTTTTTCAGCTGCCGCAATTCTAAATGATAAACTATTTGGAATGTTGTGATGTCACATGAACGCAGCCCATTGCAGGTGACGCTCCTCAGTTTTCAGGGACAAAAGGTGGTCTCAATTGAAATGATGTTAGCAAAATGGAAAGAGTGATGCAAGTATATCATGGAATAACATTTTGAATTAAACACCAGCCTCCAGCTATTACAGACAGGACTATTTCTATAACTATGGTAACTTCAGACGGAAAACCCAGAAGCCTTTTTGGAATCTTGCTGAAACTATATCTGCGTTTTTTTTTTTCAATGTGGGACAAGGCGAAGAGGAGCGGTCACTGCGTCAAGTTACAAAGCATAAAGCGCTCCACACCTTTGTTGAATCTAACAGTAATCTTCAAAAGCGCCACGTCCTTTGTAGATTGAGGTGAAACATCAGGGCTATAATGATATGATTAAAAAAACAAAAAAAGGGCGCAGTCATGAATTGGCTATTTTTGACTGTCTATATTTGCACTATCTTTTAATAAACATGAATCACTGATCTGTGTGCGGCTGCAGGGTGAAATTAAATGTAATTACCCAATAGAATGGAGCAGCTAAAAAATTATATTTCTTTAAAAACACATCTTGCAGCACTTACATGTGTTTGAGTCTGTACATATTTCCCATTATTTTTCTATATATCTAGAAAATAAGAAAAGTATGATGTGAAAAATATGCTTTCAGTCCATTTTTGGGTTTTTTTGCTCAAAATTTGAAACTCACTGACTTACCAGAAATGGCCAGAAACTAATTAAAGGGCACTAGTTTTGTAAAGGATTTTAAAATGAAGAATACTGCTCTGTGTGTGATGTCATAGAACAATAACATCATAGTATTACAGGACTGAGACAGGAGCTTTTAGACAAAAGGGGCCGAGTTATACCTTTGTGTTTCCCTGATGTTACCGTGGATGGATCTAAAAGCAACTCTGGGTCTATGACTGACGAGAAACTATGTTGGAGAAAGCCAGAATGCAGAAAATGTCTACTTTAAGACTGATACAGAGCTGCAATTACAAAAAATAATCAAGAAATTACAAAATAGTTTTGTCCGAAAATATCCTCTACTTAAATGTCTTCCAGTGGCTTCCCTTAATCCTTTCTGTGTCAAATCTAGATAATAATCACATATGAACAAATTAATCACTAAGGACATGATTTTTAGTTGTTACTTTGAATGTCTATTAACTCTAGTGAGGCTTGAATCTCAAAAACATGCAAATTAATTTCACTTAAATCAGGCCCTTGTACAAATCAACCCATTGATTGACATTATTGTCCAGAATTATTTTGCAAAACAGCCCTGAAAGAGATGGAGGACTACTAGAATCAACAGAAATAAATAAAGGAAAATATGCAAGAAAAGAATCACAGGATTGTTTATGGGAATCTGGGTCGCTGTATAGAAAGTGTCCTTCAGGAGAGAAGTAATCGTTACTTATACAGCGTCTTTCAAGAGTCCCACGACAGAACTGCTGCACATGTTTTAGTGGTCGGGAAACTGGAGCAGACACACAGGGAGAACATTCTGAAACTCTGGTACTTAAATAGTTTACTCATATAATTCATATTTCACTCTTCATCAAATGACCATTGTGCACTTTGAACATATGGAAAACAGAAGAGTTTCCCTGAAAACACAGGTCACGATGTTATCGCTGTTCATTTAAACTTCAAACTCAGACTTGGCCACAGCTGGAGGGTTCAATAGAGTAGGGATCGCACACCAAAAAGCACTTGATAAAAGGAGCAAATACAACAATAACCATTAAAAATAGGTGTAAAAATGTTATAGCTTTCATCAGATTATTCTATTCCCTTTCTGTGGAACGCAGTATTTTATCTATGAGTGTTTTTAATTTAACCAGGATTAAACAGAAGACTCACATGTGAATATACCTCTTGAATGTTGTTGCTTTATACTAGTGGTAAAAATATCAGTATTGTGCTATTATGCACATGCAATTAAAATGTATAAAGTGGAGCAAAGTATTAAAATATTCAATTAAATAATTATCAGTTTCACTTACAATTTACATCTGCGGTTTATGTTACTCTCTTCGATCTGCTTTTTGTTACCCTGGTCTATCGTATTTGAACAATTTAAGTTACGTGCTGGGAGCTATTCAGAGAATTATTGTCTTGTCCTGTAATAAGGTGTGTCCTGAAACATTATTGCACAGGTAACATGCAGACCATAATAAATGTGAAATCTGGGTTAAGAATCTTATTTCCTTCAGTTTTTTAAAATGCCTTAATAATATAATATAATAATATGAGGGACATGAATCGCTGTATATTACAGAATCCAATCACAATACTGCTGTTTTGCGATGTGTGAAGAATCACAATAATTTTGAATTGTGGTCCGAATATCGCAAAACTATTGAATCGTCACATTTTTGCTAATTCCCACCAATACTTCATACATGGTCAGGTTTGGTGTGAGCACAAAAAAAGATTGTTTGTGGAAGGAGCTCATGGGGCAGATTGGCAGACTCTCTTCAGCTGGTCTACCTCAGGGCAGCTGTGGCCATTGAAAAAGTCTGTCACCACTGTGTATAAAGCAAAGCCTCTCAGAGTGTCCAGAAAGCGTCATAATAATCCATTCAAATTAGTTTAAGAAAGGGATATTTTTGTTTTAACACAAAAACAATGCATCATAAGCTGTACAGTTCAAGTACCATTGTAAGACTTAAAGACAGAACTTTGAACCAAAAGTCAGGTGGTTAGTTCGTCAGATTTGACAGTTTATTATGGACTATGGGCCCAAGCTCAGTGCACACAGAGGCCCCAGTGTAACAGACTCCAAAGGGCCAGCTGTGTCAATGAATGAATACACCACAAAACAAAGTGTTCTCAACCATCAATGTATGCACTGGCTCTGAACACAACACTGCATGTTACCCATGAGGTTACAGAGTTATAGGACCACAGTTATGAAGGTTCAGACAATTATAAAAACGTATTTGACGTTTGGTTTACACTTAGCATGGACTGTCATTTATGTGTCTGAAGTAGTAACCAATGGAACTTTGGACATATAAGTTTAACACATGCAATAAGCAAACTATGCTTCACCTCTGATTCTGTGGTCATCATCAATCTCAGTTTCAGTCACAGTAGTAAATAGTAAATAGTATAGTAAATGTCGACGACACATTGTTCCATTAAATACAACATAACAAACAATATAAATCTACACGCCCGAGTGTAACCCTCAAACCTGCGCCGCTCTCAGCAGTGGCGGGTGTTAGCTGTTAGCATAGGGTTAGCATAACTTTGGACTAGCTTTAGCATGCTAATGGCCATACATACATTTATCAGCAGATAATGGGAACTCAGAAGAGTTACGCGCGACTTACTGGAATAGTATTGTTGCAAATGAATGAGTCTTATTCAGGACAGAGTTAAAAATATCAATGTTGAATCTAACGTTGATAAGGCCGTGGATCTGGAGGCGATATCCGGCCTGAGACAGTCCCAGCCCGGGCATCTCCGCCCTCCACCCACAGCTCTGCAGCATTTGCATCAGAAATCCAGCACTGTTGTGCTGAAAACGAACTGTGGCTGTAGAATGCACACATCTGAGCTGCAAACATGAACCCAGCGCTGGGTGCGTCCCCACACATGCACCATGATGTCGCGGCCCACTTCCCGTCATCATCCCCGGCCTCTCTTACCGCTGTCACCGATGATCAGCAGCTTGAAGAGGTAATCGTAGTCTCTGGCCATGGCCCCGGTAGGTGGAGGCTACGCCCGCCTTGTGCCGCTCGTGTATCCGCTTCTGCTCCGCTCACAGTCAGTCTACAATGTCCGCACAAACCTCCAGGTTCCCGGTGTGAAGCAGACGAGCACCCCCGGAGCAGCGCTGCTCTGAGCGGAATGTGTTTAGAGACAGAGCCGGAAACCCCGCTTCCTCCTGCTTCTGTGGAGCTGCACCCAGAGTGACCCACTCCCAGTGCGCAGACTCCGGCCACAGAGCAGCGTACTACAGGTGCACTGCAGCGACCCCCTCATTACTCTGCATTTCATGTTTTCAAAAAGGTGCGAGTCCATTCAATTCATAACTAGAAATGGTGATACTGTAGTGTAGATCAACCCCCTATCTAACCTAAGGCCTATGTGTTCCTGAATATTTGTTTTATATTTAGCAAGGATTATTTTTGAGTTTGGAATCAACACTATTGGACACTCATTTATACTGTTTTATGAGCAAAAAAAGTGAGTTGTCCTTTAAGTATAATGGAATGATTTAAGTATAATATCGGCACGGCACAGTATAACGGCGGCACGGTGGCTGAGTGGATACCACTCTCGCCTCTCAGCAAGAAGGTCCTGGGTTCAAATCCCGGTCGGACCAGGGCCTTTCTGAGTGGAGTTTGCATGTTCTCCCCGTGTCTGCGTAGGTTTCCTCCGGGTACTCCGGTTTCCCCTACCACTAAAAATATGTCCAATAGTTCTAGCATGCGCTTCCTGTACTGGCGACCCCGCTCCCATCTCTGTGTGGAGTGAGAGATAAATGCCCAAAATTAACAATTGTAAACCGCTTTGAGACTCAGATCTGCAGTGAAAAGGCGGTATATAAATAAAAACTTACTTACTTACTTACTTACTATAATATAAAGAGTAAAGTGTGCATTGGGTTAGTAAAAATGGTTTTCTGATCACAAACTATGCATTTCACTCAGAATCTGAAAATCGCCTTTTATTTTACAACCATATCACTGATAAGAACACAATTCTTATAGAGGTTGCTGCAGCCCAAACACATCTCACCACATCCTTACGAGACTCAGCAGAAGTAAAATACAGAACTGAGTCCAGCCGGTGTTGTAATTATGGACAGTTCACAAATTCACGTAACTGGATTAAAAAAAGGAAAAATCCAAAATGTAAATGCTTGGCCTCAAATTTTGGTAGCACACAAATAATGTGAAGGGGTAAAACAAAATATTTGGTAAAAATTAATTTAAAGGCCGCTAAAATAATGGTTTAAAGTGACAAACACAGCTATGTTCAAAACCGTTGGTAAACACATTCATTTTTGAAGGGAAGTGTTTGGGTTTTCCTCGTACAGTGAAGATTTGTCAGTGGAGTTGTTTGGATGCAGACTAGAGTCCATCACGTTAAAAGGGTGTCGTCAATCTCTTCATTGGAATCTGGGAGGCTTGAGATTTTCTTCAAAGATCGCCGATGGCACTCGGACAACAGGTCGTTACTTGCGGAGTCCAGGATTGCAGTGACAGCCTGCAGGAAAAATATTTTGAAAAATTGTTACGTGATGTTAACATTTCTAAACACGAGCATGTGATGATATAGCCGACTCTCGCCAGACCCCTGCAGTTCCGCCATGCTCCACCAGAGGCGTTTGGCTGAACACAAGGGTCTTATCTACGCCAATTCAAACTCCTTCAAGTGATTCGCTCAAGCATGATTTAAAAAAAAATAAAAATAGTTTAAATACAAACGAATTAAGACACGAATGTTTCTTTTAATGCAATATGAGGCGAGACGTTGATGGTTCCATGTTATGTGTGTTTTAAGAATCAAATGTTTGTGTAAAGTGTGGTTTAAGTACTAGTTTAAAAGTTCCTGTTTACAACACTATGCAGCAGGGTTGCCAGGTTGGGTGGTTTCCCGGATACTTTTTTCCAAGCGACTTGTAGGTAATAAATAAACAGAAAGACAAACAGAATCATGACAGCCCAAGTTGATTGCATTTTGTTTTTAGCCAAAAAATCCTGCATGTTTAATTTTTTTGGGCATTCTTGCGGGTTTTGGGCTGGAAAATCTTGCTGGCATTTGGCAACCCATGGGAGAATCGTGCGCTGAATTGTGGGCTTCGATGTGAGTGGTTGAAGGAACACGTCATTCAAGATAACGGGTGGTTTATCCAATCACATACAAGGATTTGTTTTCTGAAATTCACACGCTATGAAGCAGACCCAGACCCTTGTGTGAAGCTCAGAACAAGGGTCCGGCAAGAGTCAGGCTAGGTATGAAAAAGGGGCTGTCCAACATATCAACATTTGTATTGTATTATATATACACCTATATTGTGCATTATATCGTTATAATATTTCCCTATAATTTTGTCCATATCGCTCAGCCCTAATCGTTGTGGTCGTTTTCTTGAGAGAATTGGCTTTAAAATGATGTTCAACATATTATAGAAGCACAGATTAACTTCTTACAATCGATGTTTGCAAGTTTTTAAAATTCTTTCAAGTACCCCCTGTAATACCCATAGAGGTGCATGTACCCCGGTTGGGAAACATGAATGAAGACGGAACAAAATCAAGAAACATTTGTGAATGATTGAAAGGTTGAATCGGCCGAACATACATAGTACAGAGAATTCCAGGACTGCATTGACAAATCGGCTCATATTTACCTGCATAGTTTCGTCGCCTTGTCTTAGCTGCAGCATGTTGACGATTGTGTGTTCGCTCTGTGCTCGGACTGTGGTGTTCTTGTCCTTTGTGTTGTCGAGCAGAGTCTTGATCAGAGGTTTCATGAGACCTGCCTCCAACGCAGGCACCGCAGGGTCCTTGGACACCCACCACAGCACTCGCTCTGCCACCAGCCGGATATCACTGGACTGGTTCTGCAGAGACTGGGGCAACACAGACAAGAACATGCTGAAGGAATCCACTTGCCGTACTCTATGCACTATGAAGCACATCTGTATATAAACTGCACCGGCAAAAAGAGAAAGTACATTTTGTCCATATATAGGCCACACTTTAATATAAGCCGCAGGTTTTCATGTTGATCATGTAACACATAATTCGGCAAAAACACAGATTGACGACTGTTTTAACTGGTAACATGATAATGCACTTATGACGATGCTCTACTTAGAAATGAACTTTCCAACTAAAACTTGATGGAGTCAAAATAATAAGTCCATAAATTGCTCTGACAATAGCCATAATCACATAAAAAAGTCCTGTGTATTTCTCTGTACTTATTGTCTCACTGCTGTTCACATAAACATAATGGGAAGAAGGAATGTGTGCTATGTTATTAGCTCTTAGAAAAAATGTACCTTCTTTAATATACATTAAATACTGTAAAACTGCTTATCCTGGATGGGAATGATATGATATTCAATTGGAAAATGTACAATGGTGCCATTTATTTGTTCCCAATGCAGCATTTAGCGTCATTTTTTACCTTGACAAACTGCGTAATAATTCTGTGTGAGATGCTGCCTGCTCCCTCAGATCGGAGCTGGTGTCTGACGAGGAACCCCAGGGCTCGGATTCCACTGGCCGCAATGGGAATCTGCAAACATGGAGCAAAAGGAGGATTAGAGAGATGCATTCTAGTTTTGTAGACAATATTACACCATTCAAAATAATGTCTAATGCTCTGGTAAGACCCTTGCCCGTCATGGGTTTCAGCTTCATTTGGAGGAATTCCCATTGAAAAGTTATATGTTGTTTTAAATTCTGAAGCACAACAGCAATAGCCCTCATGTTTCCTTAGTAAGTAAGTAATGTTTATTTATATAGCGCATTTTACAGACCAAGGTCACCCAAAGCGCTTTACAATGTTCAGAGTCAGATATTGTTCCAATCATTCCACACACGGTGATGACAGAAGCGAGTCCAGAACACACTGGACCATCAGCTCCAATCAACACCAAAAGCCAAACTGAGTCTTCATTTAGAGCTAATTTCTCTAATTCCATCCAATCCACATGAAACAAAAACGTCACAACATTTCACAGTCCATATATATGTATCCATATTATTTAACCATGAAGGTGTCAAAAACATATGCATGATGTTAAAAGACGGTCAGACTTAATAATATGAGGGCTTTGTGAATCTAATCACTATCACACAATGAACTGGGTAGTAAGTAGTAGTAGTAGTAGTAATCTTTATTTATATACCGCCTTTTCACTGCACATCGGAGTCTCAAAGCGGTTTACAATTGTTATTTTTGGGAGTGGGGGTGCCAGTACAGGAGGCACATGCCAGACCTATTGTACATATTTTTAGTGGTAGGGGAAACCGGAGGACCCGGAGGAAACCTACGCAGACACGGGGAGAACATGCAAACTCCACTCAGAAAGGCCCTGGTCCAACCGGGATTCGAACCCAGGACCTTCTTGCTGAGAGGCGAGAGTGCTATCCACTCAGCCACCGTGCCGGGTAGACATTTTCTTTTTCAAATTGCTTCTTTACCAAGGGATTGTATTGGCACCTGCCCAAAATACTGAACGGACGATCAAACAAACACAACCAATTGATGACCGACAAAGGCATTGTATCCATTTTTTTACTTTTTTGTTATCGTTTGCATCGTATTTCAGGTTTGTGACTTCCTGTTACTTACAATGGCAATAACAATTCGGATTCACAAAATATCCCCCTTTAGAAATGCTTTATATATGAATCAAGTGCATGCATTTTCACATAAGAATGTAGAAAGTGAGCAGAAAGGCCCTGAAGCACTCACTCGGTCTGCGGTGGCGTTTGCTAAAATGGTCTCCGTCACAGTTTCTTTGTATTCTTTTGCGCATAGTTTCTCTGGGGCAGATTTGACAGCGATAGCCAGGGCCATGCTCCGGCCGTGACGCACCATCCAGTCTACTCCTGACACATCGGCTGAAAAGAGAACAATATTAAATGTATAAAATATTCCTATAACTCCGTTTCTGCCGCACCCCAAAATCTGTTTTTTGTGTGAAAAAGAGGACCGCCCTGACCATCAGCGCTCGCTCTCTCTCTCTCTCTATCCAAAAGATAAAATGTTTTCATAAGAAATAGATATAAATTAGGGGTATTCATGTTTTATATATTTTAATTTAACAGAAGTTTGGATCTGCTTTTCTGGCGGAGTATTCTTTTATGACTAATCAGAAATGTGTTGATGGAATTACAACTGCACTGGTTCAATGTTTTTTTTATGACAGATATGTGTGTTTTATCATAGGGGGGGGACAGGAGGGGATCGGGGATAAAAAGAGACAAAACATAAAACAAAAAAAATACAAATACAAAATAGTTAAAAATATGTTTCGCACAAGTGTATACATACATGTAAACTCATATACAAACTTACAAAAAAAAAAAAAAAAAAAACGGTTCAATGTTAAGAATAAAATGCAGATAATTCAGACTGAGTTTATTCGTCATTTGCAGTAAAACCACATTGAAACTTATGCAAGAGTACAAGCCATGTTATTGGTCATAGTTTTTTTGTTGAGAAAACTAGCTTTAAAAAGAGGTATTACATATTACTTATAACCTCCTATAAATGCTTGGAAGTGTGCCTACTGCATTTCTGTAATGTTGCAGCTTGACAGATTATAATACACAATAGTGGATACCCACCCAATACGTGCTGAGTTAGGACTGCTTTCAGCTCGTCGTCTGACAGGAAGGCGCACAGCTCGCCCACGCAGCCGGCGGAGGCCATCCGAGTGGCATCCTAGAACAGACAAGTCACACATTTACATAAAACCACATCCTCAGCTCGACGTCAGCTTCACGTAAACCACAAAGGAAGATGCGTCAAAGAACCGCTCAAAATCAAAAGTGTGACAAAAATGCAAATAAGAAAAAAAAAAATCCTAAAGCAGAGGTGTCCAAACTTTTCAGTAAAAGGGGCACTTTACTTAACCAGTCTTGTCAAATCATGTACAGTAAAAAGTACTGTAGCTTTTAATTAAAACGTTTTTAAAGGTTAATTTACTTTAATTACCAAAATATAGGCCAAATCTCCACACCACCTTATTTCCATGTTGCCATAAAAAAACCTCATAAATCAACTGAAACAATAAAGCTTTAGTCGACTAAGATGACATCAGCTAATCAACATAAGCCGGACAGCCCAAGTGTGGACAACAGCGGATATATCTCAGGATCAGAGCTACAGTTCTGCTTTGTCAAAGGATTAAAAGAGATGTAGTTTGTCAGGAGGACTTTGTGCTGGAGGCACAGGCTGCGTGTCATACCTCGTCGTGTCCCATCATGCCCAGTAATGTGGTGGTGATGTTCTTGCGGATTGCTGGGTCCACTTTAGAACCAGCCCCTTGGATCACGAAGCGTAAAGCCTGAAGCATGGTCTCCCTGAGAAAGCAACAGAGCCTCAAATTATTTCATCATTGTGGCGACTGGCAAAGCGCAGGAGTATCAAACTGGTTCCCAATGGGGCCCGTGTGGCTGCAGGTTTTCATTACACTCAAGTCCTCAAGTTAAGACTGGACTGACTTGAGGAAAATGGTGGAGTCTGATGGTCTTCTGAAAACCTGCAGCCATACTAGCCCTTTGAGGACTGCATTGACACCCTCGAAGGCTAAGGTAAATTTACACTCTAGTGTTGGTCCTCTGCATTTGACCCATCTAATCTGTCAGGAGCAGTGGGTAAATATCTGGTTTTCAACGCTATTCCTTGACAGAGTATGTTTGTTTTGAGGCTGAAGTTTTAGAAGCATTGCTATTTCCTGCAAAGCCAAAATAGTTTGTAAAAATCCAAAACTGTTACCTTTTTTCAATACATAACTGAAGGAATAAAGGACTTCAGTTCAGAAAACCAAAGATTTCTGCCAGACAAGGATTTTGTCATTGCGTTCCTGAAAAGCACTGGAATTTTGATGCAAAAGTTTAGTCTACTGCAGCCATTCCCTAAATCAGTAACACCGCGGTCCCCTTAAAAATCTGAAGGGTCGGCGCGGCCCCCCGAAAAAATAACATTAAAAATAGGCTCTTCTCCTTATTTTATTTTGGGGAAAAAGCCTCTGCTACAAACATGTAAATGACACACCCCATTTTGTAATACAAAAAATATTAAAATTGTACACAAATATTTTAATTTTACAAACAAAATATTATTAATTTAACATATATATTATTATTTTTTTTACATTTTGATGAGAGACACTGGTCTACTGAATAAATTCTTGCCTATTCAATCGATTGGTCGACAAAAAAAAAAAAAGAGACCTGGTAAAATCCAAAATCCTTCTAAAGCTAAAATACATAAAATAGTAAATAACAGCCCAAGCAAGAATTCTAAAACATAAATAATCCCAGACAGGCTAAACATGTTTTCCCAACGACCTGTACATGTACAACAACGGCAGCGTACCTGACTCCGGCGTCTTCCGCGTTCCGAATGGCGGCGAGCTGTTCTGTGAACAGTGGGTCGACTTTGGCGTGGATGGAGACCAGCTGCCCCAGGGCCTCGGCCGCCCGGAGCCGGACCGCGCGGCTCGAGTCCTGCAGCGCCTTTAGGAACGTGGTCTGCAGCTGCGGCAGGAAGGGCTTCAGCGCTATGCCCACCTGAAGAGACAGAGGCAAAGTTTACTGCCAGAGAAAACACGCCTGCATGCACCAAGTTAATCCTCCATCTAGATTTTAGCTTTTGAAATGGATTAAGAATTGAGTTTAAATATTTCCTCTAAAAAAAAAAGTACCAATATTTGAATATCTGTTTGGACGTGCATTACGTGGCTCCATAATTTCACCTTCTACTGTCAAAAATTGAAGTAGGGCTTGTGTTGACATTTTCCACATGCAGTGATGAGACGTGACGTGTTGAGTGGAACGACAACAAGAATTTCATTTCTTTTTACAAATTCAATTATAAATGTAGAACAAACCTGGATGAGTCTTCTGCTGCTGGACACCTGAATTTCTCCTACGGGGGATCAATAAAGTATCTATCTATCTAGCTAGAATATTTGTTGCTAGCTCTAACCTAGACGAGGGGTGTTTGAGTGTTTTTCCTCCGGTCTCCACTCACTCCAGCTGCTGTGGTCTTTGAAGCTGCGCTAACGAGGGTCATTAAATAACCAAACAGGGAGGAGGGCTGCGGCGTCTGTGTGAGACCCTCAGAGGGGAGGGAGGGATCACATGGACTAGGACAAGTTTCTGTCAGAATTTATGAATGGTTATTCGATTGCATGTCTCACATTTGAGTCTTTACCTCAAACTTGGCCCAGTTAAAGCTGGAGGACCTACTTTTGAAACCACAATAATAAATAATAAAATCCATGAAACTAGTTCCTCGCTCCAACTGTTGTCACTAGCTTTCTCATACTGTATAGCTTTATGGCCTCTGATCAACATTTTCAGTGTAAGAGTACCAGCCATCACTCAGTATGAAATGTTTTTGATAAAGACTGAATATTGTGGTCTGACTTGTTCAAAAAATGTTGCTTGAACAGACCTCATTCTGTTCCCTTGCAAAATGTATTTATGAAATTAAAATAAAGTTAGGTATTCCATCTTTACACACCAACATCTTGTATAAGGATTAATTGTGTGAGCGTTGGGATGAAATTTATTTAACGTGTTTTGAGTTTGTAATTAAATAATAAAGTCTGTGACGTATGCACCTTGGCCAGCAGCAGTGTGAGTGTCTCCAGCAGAGCGGTCTTCACGGTCCAGGCAAAACGATCTCCTAGAATCCTGATGAGGGGTCCGGTGATGTTGACCACAGAGGGCCGCAGAGCCTCGGGGGAGGTCAGTCTGATGACCCCGCCCAGCGCTTTAGCCGCCTCCTCTTTCTGCTCCGGGCTGCCAGTGAGAACGCCCTCTCTGAGCACGGGCAGGATACAGGTCACGCCCTGTGGCACAAAGCAGCTCAATACACACTCGATAACAAGAACTCTGAATCACTGTGTGTATTTTAAAAGGTGCAGTTATTGAGCTTAGGTTGCCTGGATTGATGTATGATGTATCTTTGCTTTAGTATTTCACATTTTTAAATCTATCAACAAGTGAAATTATACAAACAAACAAAACTATGATAAAATAAACTATGGTAAAAACCCATGATGGGTTAAATTTGTTTAATTTATTATCCAATATGTTTAATTAACTTCTTTAATACGAGTAGTCTTCTTGGTGGAGGTCTGTGCTCTAGGAGTGATTATTTGTAATTGTCTCATAATGAGTGCCTATTCATAGAATGAGTTTTATTTTTGACTGTTACTCACCTTCTTGGGCAGACAGAATCCAGGCAGGTGCTGGCCCTTCACATCTGCAGCTGCTGACCGAATGTCTCTGTGAAGATCATCTATGAGCGACAGTTGGCTGCTCGCATCCAGTTTCTACAGAAAACACACAATGCAAATCCAAAATCAGAAACGATTATCTTAAAGGTAACTTCAAACGTATTTCATTAATAACATGATGCACCTTTTTGATCACCTTACCCTGGACTGTAGTCAAATATACATATTTTTAGCCTCATCATAATCACAATCAGTAGGATTTGCATGGGTTGAAGAGTTAAACCAATCAGGGGAGAGGTCTAGAATATATGTTGTCCAATCAGGGAGCATGTGTGGGTTTAACTAGAGTTTTATCTGAAAATTATCTCCTAAACTACCATTCATGCAACTTTATTTTGATGATATTAGGTTCCATCTGCTTACTCTTCCTGAGGTAAACTCACAAAAGAGCATCACACTTTAGACTCATAGCAGAAAGCGTTACCTTGGTGATGGAATTGATGGTGTCCCAGCTCTGCGTGAGGACCTCAGTGTTGGTGTCGTTGAGCAGCCTGATGAGGCCTGAGAGGAGGGTCCTGACGTGGGCGCTGTAGTCCAGTCTCGTGCGGGCAAAGTACGCGTTGAGTATGGTGACCGCGGCCTGCCGGACTCCGGGGTCTGGACCGCGGCTCGCCTCCAGGAGGTCCTCGATGATGATCCTCTGTCCGACCTCATCCTCCACGGACAGGATCACGGTCTGCGCACTGAGCAGCTCCTGTAGAGGGACGGGACAGAACGATCACGCAAGGGCTCGACTCAAAATATCCACAAAACCTCTCAGCTATAAACAGGTTACAACAAAGATGCCTGTGATGGTGATAGTTTTAAAACAATTTTAATTCAGTGTTTTTCTCAGTTAAACAATTTGTCACCAGCAGGATCTACTGGGCTGTAAAAACTTATCTCTAAGACAAACAATTTCTTATGAAAGTTATTATAAATGATATTTCTGTATGATTAAAATCTTTTAAAAACCAAACATCAGGATGAGCGATGGGAAGTGTTGAGGTAACAATCTAGTTTGTGGACCATTTGTGTTTTTAAATAAGTATTGTGTTTGAAAGTGTACGACTTTGTACCATCCAAACTTTTAACAAGTATTTTAAGTTTTACGGCAAATGAACAACAGGTTGGTTAGCATCCTCCTCGACTACTAAGTAACACTATCAGCTCTGGAAAATACAAATCTGTCCATCTCCAATTTAGACACAAGTAGAAACGTTAAATTAAACTTTTACAGAAACCAAGTATAATAAAAATGAGTCATGAAGTAAGTCTAAAATGAAGAAAGCGTGTAAAATAAACCGGTAAAATAAAATTGTGATACAAATAAAGGATGTCTTAATCTTTATCTTACCTGGGCTTCTTCCTCCGTCCCCAGTTTTTCTTTGAGTGAGGAGAGCAGTGCAGGCAGGATGACCCCGAGATGACGGGTCAGAGCATCCCCAGCCACAGCCGACAGGAAGGCCAGGACTCGGGAGTTTACAGGAGGGGCAGTCAGCTGAAACCAAACGCAAACATTTGAACAATTCTCAATGACGTCAACAATAGAAACTTGAATAACTCAAAAGCGCACACTCACTTTTGGGACCAGATAGGGCAGAACAGAGCGGCTCTTCACGGCCATAACCTGCTTCAGACCATCCAGGGCGAAGTCTGCGGTCTCTTCATCATCCTAACAAGATATAAGCAACATCAGCAAACTGGATATACACCAGAAATACAGCTTTTGCACAATAGAAACAGATTGACCAAAATCCTGATCTCAGAACAGCAGAAATAAACGCATAACGGACCTGTTTTTATATTAGTTGTATTAGATCAAAATACATTCGTGATTAAAAAGGTCACACATTATGGCAGAATTGAAGTGTGTTTGTGAGTGTGACTTTGAGACTATAAATGGAAATTGGCTACGATCCGGTGTATTTACAGCTCCTCTTGTTCATGAATATGCACTGTCCCCACAGGTAAAGAAATAAATCAATAATACGAATATATTTCTTCCCATTCATGGTTTGTGGTTGGATGAAGTCATAAATTGTCAAAGATACCTCTGTAGCCATTCACACTTGTTTGTGTTGACTTCAGAGCCCAGAGTCAGCAGGGTATGTAAACTTAAAATCAGTGTCATTATGGTAGTTTCTCGTTATACCAGTTGTTTGAGCAGCATGGGTAGAATGTCGTCCAGAGCCTGATGACCGATGGTTGCGTGGAGTTGCTCAAAGGTTTTGGCTGCAGCCTCCCGGACCTCCTCCAGCGGGTCACACAGGGCCTTCCGCACAGTCGGGACCAGGGACTCCGAGAATACCAGCACCTAAAACACGCAGCGACAAGTGGAGGGATCAAAAGAGAGCTACCAATCCATCATTACACTTAGCATGAAAAGATGCACATATAGCAGCTGAGCTTTGTCTGATTGTGTGGAACATACAAAAAACTAGCTAGTATTATTCCCTGATGAAATACTGACAGCCATAATTTTCATGTTACGCAATGATGTTGACCTCATTCACATACTCTATAAACATGTGACTGACCGCATCTTTGCTGGTGGACTTCATGATTTCACTGAGGCCGATGCACACTCCCTGCCTCTCGTCGCTTTTGTCCGAGCGCAGTCCGTCCTCCAAAATGGGGATAATCTCCGGAAGAATCTTTTCTCCCAGTTTCCTCACCAGATCTCCGAGTGTCCGAGCAGCAATCTGAAACGATACAGACCTCTCAACTATCTTGGAACGAGAAATAGAATGTAACATTTATTTTTCAGCCTTTCTGCATAATTTTACATTGGATTTTTCATTACTCTAACTATTCTCAATTAAGATAAACACAAATTAAAGTGGCTTAAGTTTTAAACAAACCAAGACACTACAGTCAACAATACCGTTCTCTTGTCGGGGCAGGTGGAAGCCAGGAAGCCCAGTAAGAGGGTGAAGAGGGTGGGGAGGATTTCTCTGAGGGTCCTGGGAGTGTTGGAGACCACAATCTTCCAGACGTGGAGTGAAGCCTGTCGCACGACCAGCTGAGTGTCGGACCGTCCCATGTAGAGACCAGAGAGCACCCGGTTACGCCTCTCTGCCCCAAGCGCCCCAATGATGGCCTGGAGAGAGGAGGACAGAGTAAGGAGCAGTTCATCGTTTCTTTTAGTGATTAAACAAAAAGTTGTGGGCAGCAGCAACAACAAACCAAATACATAGATTAAATTGGGTTAATTTCAAAATATGTGACGGGATCGGCTGAACTATGGGTGACGTCAGCCCTAATACACAGTCTATGATACTGTTTGTCACATACTTTATTGGACTGTGCCGTCCCAAAGTTATCGTCCTCAGAAGCTGTCTCAGTCGTCATTTTTCCAGTGACACCAGAAATATGGAACAGGAGGTCACCCAGAAGCTGCACTGAGCTGAACCTGTAGAAAACATAAGCGATAGTGTATTGTCATATAATTGAAGCATATAAATAAATACATACAATATACATTCTCTCACTACTGCAATGCTTCTGCTGCCATAGGAAACGTTTACCTAATTCTCCAGAGGTCGTCAAACAGGCCCTGCTCGAGCTCAGGCAGCAGCAGAGCGATGGCGGTCTCAGCGTACATACTGATGATCCTCTGTCCTGCTCGCAGCGCTGTGTCTCGGACGTACTCGTTCTCATCCGCCAAAGCCTAGTGGACAAACAGGGAAAGACAAGTCAGTGTCTAATCATGTCCTGTTCATCGACCAATGTCACCCCCATAATTCAGATATGATTGTTCCCAGAGATGGAGATGAGGAAAAGATTTGTCATCGCCCTGAAGTTATTCCCTTTTTCAGACTTGACAGTAATCTATGATGTACAGAGCGTCTGTATCAATTTTCATTAAAGTCACAGAAGACAGACCTTAAAAGACATAAAAATATTATTTCTTTACGCTCAATAGTTACGTTTTTTCAATTTGTTTCCACCAATATGTATTATAAAGTCCTGTACAGACTGTGCTGATGTAAGTATGATTATAATTTATGTGCTGCTGAAATTCTCACAATATTCTTCATTCGATTTCACAATTTTCACATTTTTCACAAATTAGATTTTTTCAAAAACAGATTAATTGCCTTAATTTGTTTTATTGCCCAGCCCTAAATTGATATAAAAGATACATTGCAGGCAGTTGTTCCTTCAGGCCTAAAGGATACACAGTGGCACACACCTTGAGGATGCAGGGGATGATGGGCCCCACATACGGAGTGAAGCGCTCTCCAAAGGTGAGCGGGAGGTAGATGAACATCATGATGTATCCGTCTCTAACGTGAGATGCAATGTCCACTTTACTGGCTGTTTGCACCACGTCTGGCATCAGCTTATCCAGCTTCTCCACCCCCAGCCCAGCCATCACCTCTGCCAGACCTGCACACAGACGTATTCATTTGGATTTGCACACTTTATAGAGCCAAAAGGATCATTCAAACAGACCAGGCCCAAACATCAAAAGGTCCTCCACCTTAATAACTACACGTTAAATTCAATGTAATCTTAAAGGAGACATATTATAGACAAATGTACTTTCTTTTATGGTACCTATCATAACCATGTTACAACATGACACACCATTACAACAAAATCTGGAGTTGTGTTTAGAGCCATCCATCAGGAACTTCTGGCACAAACATGTAACAGTATTTATTTTCTAAATTTTAGTATTTCTAAATTAGTTTTGGCAATATTCAAGGGAAATGACATTCACATTATTCAGTTTGGAGCCAGTCATTTTCAAATGTTGGACAAATCTTTTTTGACTCCTCCCTCTAGTGGCAGCATAGGGAGTTACAGGTGGAAAGCATGTTTTTACCCTTCATACTTGCTCCATAATATATTTTCTAATTAGGTTAACTCATTGACTGCCAGCCCATTTCAAAACAGGTACTCCCATATTGCCAGCCGTTTCTGGTGGTTTTTACTGATTTTTCAAGACCCACAGAATATTGTGTACTTTGACTATCTGAAATCTAAAACTAGATTCTGAAAGAATGGGCTGTCTACTCTCACCAGCAAAAAGAATTTTGTTTCTATCTTGTTTAGTTCTTCTGTAATCCCCAGTTGAGTAGAGGGAAGTTTTATTGAAATCACCAGAAAGCTGAGAAAAAAGGGCCACAAACAGTGCATCTAGCTGTGTTCAAACCATTCATAGCGCAATGCTGCCATCTGCTGGCTCCATAAAGTATTGCCTCAAGCCAATCTCCACATATTAGATTCAATGGACAGCTGGGAACGTAAAAATAGCGGGAAACGCAATTGACGTGTTAACACGTCATTGGCAGACAACGTTACTATTTAGTTTGACGTGTTAACACGTCAATGGCAGTCAATGAGTTAATATTTCACATTCTAAAACATTAAATGATGAATGTAAACATCTGATAAGTTTTATACTATAAATACAAAGTTTAGTACAATCATGTATTCCTTCTGCACCCTTTTGAACTGACCTTGTGCGGCTCCAGAACGGTCCACAGAGCTCTGTTCTGAAGCTAAAGTCTCCATGAGCCACGGCAGCAGGTCGTCGAAGCAGGACTCGCCCATCCCCTTCACCATGGCGCCCAGGGCCTTAGCCGACACTGTGCGCACCTACAGCAGAAACAGAAGACGCTCTAAGCAACGACCCATAAGAGATAAAGTCAAAGACCTTAAAATTAGCCCCTTCAAATGTAATACTTTTTAGATTATAAAAACAAAAACATGGCGCTTCCCTGTCCACTTTTTCAGCAAGAGATGTATAGAAAAGATTTACATTATCGGCTCTGAAGTAAACAAACCTCTGGCACAGGGTCCAACAGAGACGTTTTGAGTCCAGGAATGACACTTGGAAGATACGGTGACAAATCCTAAAAAAAACAGGAAAGTTAAAGCTTTGGTATAACTTAATTTGAAAAAATATTTGCCGCATTACCTTCTGGTCAGTAAGGGAGTACATGTTGCCAATGATCTGGGCGGCCATCTTACGAGTGTCTGTGGATCTGTCTTGGAAGGCCCTCTGCACAATGGGCATGATGAGAGCCAAGGAGGGAGCGTCGATGAAGTGGACGAACTTTGTGTCCAGCAGCGTCTGGAGACAGGTCTGTGTCCTTTTGGACGGTTCTGTGAGCGCGTCCAGGAGAATGGGGGTGATGGCTGAAGGAAAGAGCAAGGTTGTTATTAGGGATGCACCGATCGGATACTGGTATCGATATCGGCGCCGATACCAGAAAAAATACTGGATCTGATATCTGCGTAGAGAGAGGCGCCGTGCTGCCGATCCATTTTCTTTTCTTAAAAAAATTTTTTTTTTAATACATACCAGGTACCGCACAATGTCTTAAAATACATTGTGCATAATGTACATATACGTATAAAATGAATTAATTAAAAGTAATTTATCAGATCTCACGTACACGTCACTTCCTCGTAGCGCTCTACAACAATAACAACACAGCATGGAGCGCAGGAAAGAATCAGCGTTGTTCACGCGGCGGTAAACTAGCGAAATACAACACGACTAAGCACCACAAAAAACAGAATGGGGAGTTTTTGCATCGAAAGGAGATTACGTGAAAACAACGAGACACAGATGACACTGACGCAGCGTCACAAAAAGCTTTTCAGCAACAACCCCAAAGTGTTGGAGTTCATCATGGGCTCGCAGCCCCATAGACCATTTGGAACCCAGGTACATGCCGTCGCCAAATACATATCTGAAATCCAGTTAAAGCAATGATACTATTATTTATTTACATTTTCATGCAGCGTGTTTTGTTTGTGTTTTTTTATTCAAACACAGTTAATATAAGTACATTTATATTCAATAAATGTATAAGGTATAATACAGTGTTTGAATGTTTAATGTGAACATTGTGCAGCTCTTTATAGTTGCAGTATTGCACATTTATGTTGAATCCATTTTTATCTGGAAAGTTTAGCACTTTAGTTCATCCACTGCTTTTGCAGTTACTTGAGCAAAGAGTTCAATTATTAAATACATTTTAGCATGATCATTTCCGGTATCGGTCAATATCGGTATCGGCAGAAACCCATAGCTCTGGTATCGGTAGTAAAAAAGCTGGATCGGTGCATCTCTAGTTGTTATTATTACTAACAGAGATCTGAATACCTCTCTTTAAAAGAAAACAGGTTGAAAGGGGAATTTCAATAGAGACAAGAGCAAGAGACAAATGCAAAATGTCTTAAGTTTATCCATGTTTACAACATTGTCTCGCCATAAACATAACCAGAGACATGTTTTGCTCCAGCCACTCAAATATCTGGAACAAACACATCCCTTTGACCCTTTTTGTCTAGATACTCCCATCTCAAATGGCTCCTTTCCAGAGCCTTTGACATTCTTTGGAAACGCCTTCTGGTGGGAGATGTGAGAAATTTTAATGCGAAGATCAGTCATCTTTATGAACAATTATGACTGTTGAGTTAGTTTGACTAGTTTGATTTGGTTATCTGCTGCTGGCAAGTCAACATTAATCGTGCATAGATTTATAAACGTCATGCATTTTAAATAAATCTTTATTATTCGACCATTGCTGCAATATTCCCCATTTTAACCAAACGTCTGTTGATGTTTTTCTTTTCAGCCAAGATTTTTTCTTAGAGTTAATACATTGATCTCAACCAATCAGAATGTCTCAGAATTCTAATCTTCATAGCTGACCAATAGCAGTCTTTAAGATACTGATATTCATGAACCCACATATTCTAGTGTCATACCAAGGATCTCAGGGTTGCGGATGACAGAGCCAATCTGCCTCAGAGCCTGCTGTCCGGCCTTCTGGACCTTCACGTGTGAATCAGTCAGGACCTCCGTGAGTTTGGGCACAATACTGGGCAGGCACGAAGACAACTGCTTAGGGGCACAGAACGCCATGGCTCCCAGCAATTCCACAGAACCTGCAGGAGGAAGACATGTCAAAAATGTCACTGTTACCGTTACTAAAATACAATGAATACATCTTATTATATAAACAAATCTGATAGAACTGTAGCTTAGACCTTTCTTTTATTTATGACTGCAATTCATGCTTCAGCCTTCTCTCAAACCTCAGGACAAGTTCATGTAATACATAGATGCAACACAATATACTGTATATCAAATTTAAGTCACTAAATTATACAAATTCATTTAGATGCATTTGAATGTGTTCTCAAAGCTTGTAAATACAGCTTCTCTGAATGATCCCCACCTGCTTTTGTCCTCCACGACTCCTCTTCCAGAGCCATGAGCAGCGAGGGCAGCACCAGCTTCACTCCATGAGCACTCAGGTTCTTCATCACAGCTTTGGCACAGTCGTCCGCAGCCTGCAGAGAAAAAAGCACAGACAAAAACATTAGAAATATGACACAAAGAAATGGAATGTTAAGATCAAATCCCAAAAGCTTACCTCTCTGACGTACTGGTTTCCATCTCCAAAGCAGAGCAGGAGATGAGGCAGCACATGGACCACGTATGGTTCGAATAACTTCCCCAACATGTTACACAGCATCTCAAACGCAAACAGCGCTCCTGCGGCAACAAAAGGCATTTTATTTAATGTTGGCTCATGTAAAAGATTGTTACAGACATTAGGCAAGAAGCGAAGATTTTACTGGAATGTTTAGGGAGAAAAAAAGATCTTGCTGGATTTTGACTTGACGTTCTAAAAGAGTCTGTATAAGTCTGAACAAATCAGACCACAAACATACTGTCTTTATCTGGTATAGAACCGATACCTGATAACAGTATCGGTATTGGTGTATCCCTAGTTTAAATGTAAATTGTTGTCGATTTTTAGCAAAAGTGCAACAACACTAACAAAATGCAGTGAAATGTATATACAATTTAAAAAACCTATGTACAGCTGTTTGTTTAACCGAAATGAGGGAGTTGTCCATTTTCAAACCCCCTCAAAAACTATATCTTTAACTAGGATTAATTTCCCCCCAGCTCAGCCAGCCCTAGGGGCACCCACCCTCTCTACGCCTGAAGTTCTTCTTGTCCTGGATGGCGTCCGTCAGGGTGGCCATGATCTCCTGCTGCTTCAGAGCCAGGATCCCGAGGCCTTTGACAAGTCCAGCCAGACCGTAGGCCGCGCCCTTCCGCTCTGCATATTTGTCGCTCTCTAACAGAAGCTGCAGCAGGTTCCTCACGATCCCTGCTGCGTCCTCTTTGATGGCGGGGACCAGAGGAGGCAGGCAGCTCGCAACAGACTCCTGGACCTGAGGAGAACATAAGACAATCAGGTGTGCAAGCAGAAAAGCACAACCAATCAGATGCACTGCTTTTTCAAAAAGTTACACAGTGCGAATGTTTACTTCAGAATTCTTATTGTATAACAAATCAGTTTTAAACATTCCATTCAGCAGTGCAGTGAAGAAACACATATTACAACATTATATTCTTCTGATGTGCAAGTGCCTGGGTAACTCAGGAACTTATTATTACCCCATTGCTTCGGCCTACTCTTTAAGGGTTTTATAACAGTGTAATCATAGCATGATGCAAACTATGTAAAAATTGCTCAAATAAATAAACGAAATATAATTTTCACTTCCAGTGCAAGATATTAAGTTTTGTATAATCTTGTAATTTGTCATTCTCGTTTGTATTTTTAGTTTAACCTATAGGTGCAAAAGAGATGTCATGAGGTCTTGACTCCAGGGCTGCAGTGGAATGGCTTCCAACAAAGGATTCTCTAAATGTTTACCTCTGCCTCGGCCCAGTGAACAACTGATTATATTTTGGGTGATCCGTATCATCGTATGCATGCAGGGTTTCATTAAAGGTTTGGAACTGCCCACCTAGATGGAAGTCAGCGCTTTCAAAACAAATCATTACTAGTAGATGAATTTCAGAACATAAGTGGTTTATAAAAGTCTAGTACATTTGATAGAATTCTTGAAATGACCACAGTCTGAATGAAATAATTGTAGAAAGTAAGCATGTTTGTGGATGAGCTGCTTACTTGCTGTGATGGAGTGGACAGAGCGGTGATGAGTTTGGCGACAATAGGTTTCACTTTGGGGTCATTCTTGTCCAGATGTTTGGCCAGAGAGCCCATGAGGATGACCACGCTCTGACGCACCGAGTCGTAGCTCGCGTCCTGAGGCGCGTTCTTCAAAAACTCCTCAAACACCGGCAGAAGGGAGCTCACATTGTCCTGGGACACAACACCAAAACATACGACAAATTTGATTGAAAGAATTGCAACAAGACTAAAAAACCATGAGATTTAATTAGGTGCAGTGATCTATCAAGTATAAAAAGCTGTACATAAGTTAACTCATTAGTCGAGTGAATCTGCACTTGTTCTGGACAAGCTCAGTCTGAGACTGCTCTGAACACTACATACAGTACATATTTTGAAGAAAACTAAAATTCAAACTTCTTGTTACACAAGGACACAACATTGATTGAGTATGTATTTTTGGGGACGTTTTGTGGAATGTTAAGAGCATCCAATTCCATATGTCCCTTTGAGTAAATATCAAACATTTTGGTAATAGTTGCATGGAGGGTATAGTCTACAGTTTGTTTGCCCAAATCACCTGAACTAATCCAACTATCAACTTATTTAGGCTTGAACATAAAATTATTTAGGTTTATTTGAATAAGGATGGATACAGAAAACCTAGACAAACTTTACTAGAGTAGTGCATAGATGATAGTGCTTATTGCCAAAGCTCATTCACTTGTCCAGGGCTTTTGAAAAAGAGCAAATCCAAACAGAAGTGTTTGAACCATTCCCACAAACTACACTGACATGATTCCATACACATTGTAGTGTTTTGTGTGTTGAAGTTACCTTTCCGTGTGTGTTGAGAGCAGAGAGTGCGGCGTCCAGCATGCAGCGCCGCACTTCAGCGTGGCGGTCGTTCAGGGCGTCGGGCACAAAGAAGAGGAAGAGTGGGGTGATCTGAGACTCGCCCAAAAACTCAGACAATTTGTTCAAAGCCAGAGCGATGCCACACCTGACCACAGGGAGACACACAAACAAAAGGTTATGTAAATTTTATTTCTAATTATAATTTTTCAATTGCAGAATTCACCTTGAACATAGGCAAATCAATGTGTATCATATTTAAATATTATTGTTGAGTATTTCTTTGCACAAATGCAGATCTAATAATAATAGTGACAATGTATGAGTTTTGAATAGCTCTTTTTTGGACACTCAAAGACGCTTCATTTTTCATTCATTCCGTCTGACCACCACCAACCATTCACATACACGTCAGACGCATTCTAGGCACTGTGGATGAAATGTCTTGACTAAGGACACAACAACCGTTAGGAACTTTAAAGCTGCGGCCGCGCAACTGTGGCACCTGGTGTTCCCAGAGGTCTCCCTTCAGAGTACTAACCAGGCCCTGCACTGCTTAGCTTCAGAGGTCTGACGGGATCTGGCTTTCAAAAACAAGTAATAGTGTCACTTACTATAATTATATGTAAAATGGAGAGCTGCAACATGATTACACCAAACTGCTTTTACAAAATGTATACAATTGTTTTTGTCAAGTAGAAGAACCATGAAACGTGCCTGGCCTCCCATTGGTCAGGCGGAGATTCTGAAATGACCCGTCCAAGGCCGTCAAGAACAGGGGGCGGTCTCTAGAAAAATTAAAAACAACATTATACACTAATATTTCTCCCCAAGACCAGTCGTATGATATATTTGGATTGCGTACATATAGTTTTTCCTGGTAGAGCTCTGTGAGTTGGCTGAGCACTGTAGCAGACTGGTCTTTGTACTGGGATATGGCAGAGGACAGAGCTTCAGCTGCCGCCGTTCGGACCACCTCCTCGTGGTGAGTCACGTCTCCGATCAACAAGGCACAAAGTTCGGGCACTAGCTCCAGACAAAGAGACTCCCACAGTCTGGGAGATACAGAGTTTGTTAAAGAACAGAAAGAGAATAGAATGTAGCGTGTGTGGTTGGTGCTAATGTTTACTTTTCAGCCAGGCTTCTTCCTTCCTCTTCCACATCAAACCTAGCAACCCAAAGCCTGCGCAGTAAACTCATGCCGCTTGACTCAGAACTGTCGGTGGGCAACGCAAACTCCATCTCCAATAGGCCCTGAGGGTAAAAGGCCCATTTAATTTATAGATAATAGTTATATATGAACAAAAGAAAAACAATGGTGTTGTTCACTTATAATTGACCTCTACCCATTTTTTGGGTAGAGGTGTTTTGCCTCAGTTCATTTATTTAATTATTAATGACCTTTATTCACCTCACAACAGGGATCTAAAATAACCATCCCTTTAAGCTAAATTTCAAATCCTAGAAAAGAAAATGTCATAAATCTATAACTAGTTCCTCCCTCCCCAATGCTAGTTTTCACAAGCATCAGATTTGTCAGGCTGAAAAGTGAAAAAGAAAGGACCTCCCTTAATCATCCCTCAACCCAAAGCGTCAAATCTCAGAGCACTTTTTTACAGGAGTTTTAGGGTTCCACAAAGAGGGCATGTTGCATTCGATTTGTCCACAAAATGTTATTGCTGAAGGGACAAATAAAACACTTTCTTTTAAACTAAATTTTGTTTATTTAGCGTACCCCAGATTGAAATACGCACTTTTACAATACAATAGACATAATTATAGCATTTGTACGGACTGCTGTTGTAAGAATGTAAAGTGTTGGTTGTGTGTCTTACTGACCCGGAGAGCAGCGTCCCTCACGGAGAAGCAGGACGAGAGCAGTGCGCTGAGCAGGACGTCAATCTCCGACTGCTCGGCCACAGTGCAGCCGTCTCCTCCCCCTGCGCTCGCACACAGACTGGTGAGGCACTGGGACGCCAACACCTGTGGGCAAAGCACAAACACACATATCACAAACACGGAACAACTCTGTCTATTACTCTTGAAGGTAAGAATGTGAATATGGTTTGGTTTTATTGATAGAGATAGATACTTCAGCAGAAACACATCCATCCATCCAAACATCAATACATTGTTCTAAAAGTGACTAACAGCAGTAATGAAGTTCATATGTTTGACTCAAATTTAACATAGAAATTAACTTTAAAGTAAGAGAGGGCCGAAGAAATTGTTTTCAAATAAAAACCATAAAATTATAGGAACCAACAAATAACCAGAAGAGCCTTTAGTCAACTCAAATAGATGTTGCTCTACTACTATTAATATTACTACTCCTGTATAAGTTAACTAGACATATTTCTAAGTACATAGCACTTGCCTGGAGTCTTGGCGTTGCTGTAGAGATAACCTTTATCAACAGCACAAGCATGTTCATACGTGGAAGCAGCTCTGGCCCATTCTGTAGTTTCAAAAGTATGTATATTGTTAAAAAGAGCTTGATATGGAATCTGCAAAGACTGTAGAGCATGTCTGCACCTCGTCGATGAGCATCTGGTCAGCCTCGGTGTCGGCCCGCAGCTGGCAGTGCTGGTTGACCACTTGCAGGGCCTGGAGCATCATGGCCTCCGCCTCCTCTGTGCTTCCGGAAGACTCTTTGAGCGTGGCGTTCAGGAGCGGGAAGCAGTAGGAGAAGGCAGGTGCCGACAGAGGCCCCACGTCTAAACAACATCAAACAGAAATGAAAGAATGCAAGAGATTAGGTTGCGTTCATGATCCAGGTTTCCATTTCAGTCGGAGGCCAGGGGCACGCTTCCCTAGATCATTCTTTACTTGTGATTACATTTACAAAGCCACCATTTTATGATGTCTGAAAGTCCTTCCCACTGGTCAAAATATTTTAGAAGTGTGTAGAAGTAGTGGCACTTGAAATAATTACAAATGTTTTTTTTTTAAATTGATGGACATTCAAAAATTCAGGCATCTTTTTGTTTTATGTATTTGTATTATCCCACACACCCCCCCCAAAAAGATACTATAAGGTATACATATACTAGTTTGTATATGTTACTCCACACTAATGGGTGAAGTGAGCAGGAGAGAGCGGTCCTCACCCGGCGTCTTCCCCTCGCGTTGCTGCACGGTGTGTTGGTGAAGCAGCATCACGGTGCGGTGAGTAGCAGTGTTCAGATCCTCTTGAGTCCAGGCGGCCTCCAGCTCACACTCCGGCTTCAGCAGTCGGAGTGTCACATGACCGACAAGGACGGCTAATTGGAGTCAGACACATATACAGAATAGCACTTACAATGTTGAAAAAGTGTATTTGAAGGAGATAAACACAAAATCTACATTTCATGGCTATGGACCAATTGTTTTAGAGCAGGGGTCTCCAACCTGTAGCTCGGGTGCCACCAGTAGCTCGCCAGCCCCTTACAGGTAGCTCGCCAAAGGAATTAAAATTTAACAAATACATATCTATTATAAGTATAAATATAGGGTTATACAGTACTATGGTGTATTTTAAATGTGTTCTGAGTTTGATCGTAATTATTAGATCGATTTTTATTTCGACTGCAAAAAGGAGTAGCTCTCTGCCTGTTCGTTTGTATAAAAGTAGCTCTTAGATTGAAAAAGGTTGGAGACCCGTTTTAGAATGATTGATGCATGTTTGAGTAATATGCATTTGCTTTGTCCAAACCCTTTACAAACTGTATCATTGATTCTCAGACGTTTGTTTTGATGTAAACTCACCCAGGTTGTGTAGATGTTTCGGCATGAGACAGACCCCGATGTCGAGGAACACCTGTCTGATTCTGGGAGCAGCGAGGGGTGAGTGCAGGAGGGGCATTAGGACCTGGAGGACACTGGGCAGCTCCTGTGTGATCCGAGCAGGACCTTCTTTGAGAACGGCCTCCAGGAGACCCACCACACACTGCAGCTGCAAATCCAGCTAAAAGACAACAGACAAAGGTTGACAGCCTTTTCACATGGTTCAAAACATGGGCTGTCAGCTTCTGTTGTTTCACTGGGTAAAATGTTTAAAATACAAAGCAAGTATAATAAGCGTGTTTGTGAGCAGACCTCCTGGAGTCGTTCTCGGACCAGAGCTTCTTTCTCGAGCTGCGCCTGAACCATCTCCTTCTGTTTGGCCGATAGTTGAACTTCATCTTTGATACCTTTCTTCTTTTTAATTTCCTATAAAAGGGCAAAAAAACAATAGAAAACATACAGAAAGGCCATTATAAGTCATGTCCCTTTTTTCATGTTGTGCGTTTTTAGTTTGCATTATAAAAGAATGTTTTACCATACTAATATCTCAAGTGTAAAGCTGTAGTCTGGGAAATTATTAAGAATTGGGAGATCTAAAAATAATTAAAGTTAGTCCTTGACCATTTTCAGAATTTCAATATTATGTAGTTTGATACAGACTTGTGCACAGGTAAGAGCACATAATTAACATACTACACTAAATTGTGAATATATAAGCCGAATTTGTGTCCCAGTCTTCGTTCATTCACTGTTAGTTTCATGAATTATACAAGGAGGAAGTATTGGTCCCACCTCGCTGTGAATGTTGCAAAATCTCTTGAGAAATCCATAGAAAAATATTGAAATGTTACCTCCTCGATCTCCATTTCAATGATTTGATCTTTGAAGGCATAAGCTTTGTTTTCCCTCTTAATGTTCTTATTCTTCACCTCCTGTTTGGCACTGTAAACAGTCATATGTGAGAAATACAAATCCATTTAAACTTATTGAAACACAGTGAGACCGGATCACCTTTGTATGATGCTCTTGTCGAACAGTTCCCCGGCTGGCGTGAGCATGGTGCTGTACTCGTCCCGCGTGACCTGGAGCAGAGCGGGGCGTGAGAAACCCTCCACCATGTGACCGATGACCCGCGGCATTAGCTTTTGTGGAGACAGGCAGGAGAGGGCCCCAACAGCGTTTCTGACCGCCTAAAAACAGATTAATCACATTAAATACAATAACAAAACAGTCAGTTTGCAGTATTAATGCAAAACTGTAATGTAAGGGTTGTGTAAGGGTTTGTGTAATGTGGATTTTAAGACTCTAAAGTAGGAATTTCTGTTAAATTACTCAGGAATAATTTTTTTAGGTAGAAAATAACAACATTGCAAGAAGGTCCTCCGGAGTCTTCACTTCAGATTTATCTTTTCCGTGTCATAATGGCATTCTAAACAGCTAACTGATTAATCTATTATCAAAATATTGTGTTAGTTACAGCCCAGTCACAAAAGCAATTCAATATATTCTACCCAAAATAAAAGTACCAAAATTGAGGGGAAAAAATGGGAACTCAAGTAGCAAGATATTAAAACTCGTTATTCAGATGTGGCTGAGAGACTGTACCTGGTTGTCCGCGTTGACGTCCAGCAGATGTGGGAGAAGCGTATCCAGATTTCTCTCAATAAAGTCTTCGGCTTTGACGTTCATCGACGACAAGAGCACAGGCCACAGACCACGGCGAACACCCACTACAGGCACAAGCAGGAAGTGGATTTTTATCACATATTTACATGAAAAATGTAAAGGAAATGTACTGTAAATGCATGTTCTTACCTATTGACGGGTGGTGGCTGATTATGACCGTCTCCATGGCCAGGCTCTGGGCTTCGTTCGGGTCGCCCCATTGCCCCGCGGCGCAGCAGATGGTGCAGAGAGCCTCCAATAGAACACGAGGCGGAACATAACTGCGACCCACTTCAGTCAACTCTCCGGACTCTGAGACCAGGACGTCCGAGGGCAGAACCTGTTGTGATCAAACAAAAACATGAGTAAAAGCTGAATCCATCCCAAGTCCTCTTTCCAGACCCAAGGGACGAGCAACGACCTTGTGTTTGTTGATGACTGCTCGCAGCTCTCCCATCAGCCCATGGGCCAAACTGGAGCCTCCCAGCGACGACAGCAGTTTCTTCACCGTTTGCTGAGCCCGCTTCCTCACCCCCCACGACCGGGACAGGAGCGCAGCTACTGTGGCAGAGTGGTACATCCTACCACAAACCAAAGATACATTGTTTTAACTTAAATGAGACATATTTACAACTTTGTTCCCTCATCAAAACATCAAATGCGGAGTTGTTTTTGATCCATCCGTGCTGATATATCATTTACATGTAATCCTAATCCTTCTGTCTATAAGCTCCTGTCTCAGTCCTGTGATAATACGATGAGATGACTTTTGTGGCAATTTCTCATGTGAAATTATGTACATTAAAATGCCATGGCTGTGTTTGCTGCCGGAAAATTTCAAATTAGCATTTCTTTCACCCTTTATAGGTGTTCATCACATTTTTTCAATTCAGCATAATGACTATTTCTCATAGAGGATGCGATAATAAAAACCAGTTAATAGTCCAATTAGGCCAAAAATAAACCATATTTCTTGACGGATGATTAGACACTGACTTGGATCTACTGTTGTTGAGGCGGTGGGCGTGGTCCAGGAAGAGTCTTTCAGAGAGCTGCAGCACTGTGCACAGAGCTGGGAGGACACAGAGATCATTAGAACACATTTAAACATGTTTCATTTGAGGCAGTGAAGTCTGTGTACTTACTTTCATCATTGGCCTGAGAGAGGAATTTTTCCGTTGTAAAAAGAGGGCTTTTCTCATCCAAGATCAACTTCCAGAAGTTTGCAAACTTTGTTTCTGTCGAAAGAAATAGAAAAGATAAATAATGATACAAAATAGTGGGGATCATATGTGATCATGACTGCTGTGTCAGATGTTACCTGGCTGTGAGTCCAGGAGGCTCAGGCGACACAGCAGCACAGAGGCAGTGGTTCCCTCTGAGAGCAAAGCATTCTGGGAGCTTTGTGCAGCCGCCTTCTCAACCGTTTGTAAAAGCAACGGCACAAGCTCTGCGGCCTGGGACAGCGTGTCACCTATAGAACAACGCAGTGTGAAAGTTAGTTTTGATTCTTTTTTGTGGTTTTATTGTAGTATGTGTCTGAAGGGCGCAGAGGGGATTGGATTAAAATACGTTTTTGCTTCAACCTATTTCTTTTCTAACCATGCACAGGTTTTATTTTAACAATTTTGTATATCTTGTTCATATTTTAAATAAATGAACAAAATGAATGAACCAAGAGCTGGACACCAACATGCAGTCAAAGAACATGATGCAAGCATTACAACAGAAATAGCCATGATTGTCATAAATATTCTACAGCAGTAAAGCCTGTTTTTACCAGCTGCAGTGATGATCTAAGTAAACCTGTATTAAGCCTAGCGTACATCAACAGAGTAACTGGAGACAACTAGTTGCAAGGCGGTTTTTGGCAACTGAGAGTAGATGGTGGGAGATCATTAGTTGCCGAAATTGGTCGATGTGAGCGCTCTTAACTGGAGATAAACAGTCAATCTCCGGATTCAGTCAGTTGCCCGTGTTCTACTTTTCGGCAACTAGTTATCCTCAGATCCGGAGATATGACCCGATGTGCTCCAACAACAACGTGTGTATTGCGTGTATTGCGCCCTCTATAGTTTGTGCCAGAAAACACACTGTAGTTGAGGCCAGTTGCTATCGATGTACGCGCTGTTATTCCCGAGACTGGCCTGCTACGAGGAGTTTCCCGTTTTCGCCAGATTGTCGATGTGTGCGGGGCAGCAATTCATAGGCGACGGATATAATCAGTTGCCAGTCCGATGTACGCTAGGCATTACAATGACAATCAACACCAAACTGGATTTTGTAGCCCACCTTTGAAGGCCCCGAGCATGGTCTGGAGGTAGGCCTGGCGGACAGAGGAGGTGGAGGTCTTCAGGGTGAAGGCTTTTTTGAACCAGTCGATGAGAGCTGAGGGCACTTCTAGTGTGAGGCGGCCGCTCCACTGAGACAGCACCGAGACCGCGTGGACCAGCGTGCCCTCGTGAACTGCACAAATGAGACCACACACTTAGAAGAAGAAAAAGAAACATTATTATTGTACTATTTAACTAAATGCCACCTTCTTGTTGTAAATATGGGATGAACGCGGCCGTGATTGCAGAGCTGAGAGTCTGGTTGGAGGTTCCGGATACGGCGTGATGGCTGCAGCTGCCAATACCTAAAAATTAACAAATCAAATTAAATGTTTGACACAGAAACGCTGTTAAAAAGTGATTACGTTACGAGCCCTTACCTGACAATACACTCATCTTTTGGGCCACAACTGTGAGCTTCCCTTCAGAGCCTGTGGATATGAAACAAAGAAGAAATATCCTGCATTATTTTTGGCCAATAAAGAAGGATAATGGCAAGGCACGGTGTGTTTATTTGTAAGCACAGTTCATACGAGGCAACTCAAAGAGCATCAAAAAAACAAGAATCACACAAGGCTTTAAAAATCATAAATCATTAAAGTACATTGAAAAGAGTAAAGATATAATTCTTTTTATGCACAGCTAAACTGAACTGTTTTTAACCTGTCTCACATTTTCAGGAAGACTTCCAGATTTGAGCTGCATGAATCTGAAATGCTACTTAATTTTTTTACTTAGAAAATATGTGGTGAAACAAGTATGAAGGGTAAAACTAGTAAAACTAACCCCCCGACTCCACCGGGCGCGTCTCCGTTGACGCGCGTTGGCTGCTGTCCGTCAGCCGTCCGTAAAACGGACCAGTGGTCAAACCGGCTGCAGCAGCATGCAACTCTGGCTGTGCGTTTATCAGCCTGCTTTGTTTTTGTAGGAGACATGTTTGGGCATTGTGTGAATGAATGAATGTTTGGCTGATGGAGGAGTTATGTATTGTCGGCGTGCATGTGTGCGTGAGCGTGTGCGTGAGAGCGCCCGTGTGTGTGTGTGTGTGTGTGTGGTGGGAGGCGTGTGCGTGCATGTGTGTTTGGGTCTGTGACTGCAGCGTTTATTATGATCCAGCCTCTTCGTTTGTTTTCTACTTAATTAGCGCATGATACACTTTTATCGGAGCCAACTCGCCTCTCCGCGGCTTTAGGCAACAGGCAGAGCTATAGTTTTAAATAGAAGAAGCGGTGTGTGATGTGCATGAGCTGTGGCTATGATCAGTGCAAAGCACAGCATTGAAGCATTGAGGACGTCGCGATGGATGAGGCAAAACTTATTGAAAGCAATTGGAAAAAGGGGAGAGAGAAAAGAACTCCAACATATCCAGTGTTGTGAGATCTGTCTCTCATAAGTGCAGCTCTGTGTGTGTGTCTGTCTGTCTGTCTGTCTGTCTGGGAGCGCGCGGCGGTGAGGAGAGAGCGCCTCGGAGGCAGACGGGACAGAGCGAGAGAAAAAAGAGCGAGGTGTATGTAAAGATTAGCGTATTAACATTACGCGAAAAATAAATGGTAGATTTACGACCAGGAAACAATTATTTAAATTAATACATGAAAAACATTACACACGTTTGTTAATAATCATTGTCATTAACAAATACTTATAACCAAGGACTACAGCATATCAATACATGTTTAACAATGTTATTCCATTGCATTTTCAATGGAAAACGGACCCGACACGCGTCGACGGACGGAACAAATAGGATTGTTTCTATTTCGTCCGTCCACGTCTTTTGCACCCTCCGTTGACGGAATAGGTCCAACGTACGTTGGACGGACGCATGCGGAGGCAGTGGAGCCACTTCCATTCACTCTCATGGAGATAACGGAGACGGAGATGAAACGGACATGTTTGGACGGATCCGTCGTCCGTTTTACGCGCCCGGTGGAGTCGGGGCCTAACTTGGTTGCAAACACATCCATATGATTGTAAAGAGCGTTATTTTAGCAGAGCCTATTACCAGAACTAATTTATGGGCGATAATTTGTATTAAAAAGTCCAAAATGAGTGTAATGTCATAGTGGTACAATGACATACTGTTACAGGAATGCGACATGAGCTTTTAGACAGAAGGGGCGGAGCTACACGTTTGTGCCAGAAGTTCCTGGTGTTAGCGTGGATGCATCTAAACATTTGCATAATACCTCTATTTTAAACACATCTTCAAATCCCAAAAACATCAGAACTAAAATGTGTGCTCGTCTTTACCTCCAAGGATTTTGAACAGGTGTGTGACGATGTCCTGAACTGCGGTGGCGTCACTGCACTGCTGAGCCAGATTCTGCATGGCCTCGACCGCCTCTTCCATCAGACGGGGATTGTTCGCCTTCATCTGACCTAAAACAAAACAAAAATCCAGTCAATAACCAACATGGAATCAATGCTGAATTTCAAACCCATGGGTCAGGCATGTCATACTCTATTTTAAAGGTCTCTTAAATAATTATTATCAACTTGCATTATCGATGGTTATACCTCATGGTCTTAATTTTAAACCCAATACGCAACAATTAAATATCAAAGAGAAATCACTGGCCTTTCTGTCTTCACTGATCGACCAGTTTTGGTTCAATCAAAACAGGAAACTATTTCTGATCCCAAAAATAATGTTTGGCAAAAGTAATTGGTCGTATGAAATGGTCATTTGCAAATCCAGTGAGTAGGAGAAGAGACCTGTAAAGCTGCCATTGAATTAAAGAATGAATGGACATAATACATATAGTAAGTAAGTAATCTTTATTTATATACCGCCTTTCACAGACCAGAGTCACAAAGCGGTTTACAATTGTTATTAATTATTATTTTTATTATTATATCCACATATGCACCTTCTTCTTGTGAAAAAATTATAAAAATGTTACTTATAAAGAGAAAAGACAAGACAGATGCCAAATTGCATCTCCAAAGCGCATGGTGGTGATAAATACTGAAATCATTTTAATTTACTTCACAATTTTTATAACCATTTTTGTTGACAAAAATACACTGCAACACACCTTTTTAAAAATACAGCGGTAAGATTGAAAATTGCAAATAAAAATGCATTGGATATATGCCACATTTCAGTGTTCAGCCGATAAGTAATTTGTCAAAAATATACTTTATGTTAAAAAAAAAGATATTTTTGGCCCCCCATTCCCATTCTTACAAGCAGCCGTGGAACTTACTTGCAATTGCCTTTCCGATATCCATGGCGTATTGGCTGAGGTCGAGAGTGACACTGGACAACAGGCAGGAGATGGCTGGAACAAGAACAACAGCAGCAGCATTAGCCCAACTTTTAGCAAACATTCGAATCAATAGCATTGCCATTCAGATGTGGATCCATATCAGAAAACTATTTTCAACACTCACTCTGCATGGCGTTCTCAGGGCTGCGGAGCATGGTCTTCTGGACAGTGGGCAGCAGCAGCTCTTTGAACTCCACGTGAGAAACATGACGAAGCAAAGCGCCGCTCTTCACCAGGACGTGCGCCGGGGGTTTGGTCTTACTCATCAGCACCGACTTTATGTACAGATCCAGCATGGCGTTCTAGAAACAAGACGCATATTTGGGTTACGCGAGAGAAGTGTGAAGACATTACAGATGTGATATGTTCTGGGTAAGTCCTGTTTGATCTCTGTGTCTAAAGTTAATGAAATTGAGGCAGAATTCAGAATGATAGGAAAGTTCATAGTCGGATTGCATTAGTAATTTTATCCATTATTATCCACTGTCAAAAGCCGTGCATATGCTGTAACAAAACAACAAGGCCGCAAAAGGTGAAGCGTGTTACAGTGCGGGATCTGTTCACCACTCGGCCTGTATTTTAGCATGCTGCCCTTGCATAAAGACTTGACACGCCTGCATTAAAGTATGAAGAAATTAAACACGAAAATATAACGCGAAAGAAACCAAGGCGACAACATTCAGGCACTTACCTTATGCTTCTCTATGGTAGCAATATCCTTCTTGGTGTTACAGAAATCCAGACAAACTCCAAGCATTATCATGGTGGTGGGACTCGGATCCAGGCTCAACAAAGTGGAGATGTAGGTATCCACCAGACCAGGGTACTACAAGCAGCCACAATGATGAAATCAAATATTAAAATACATTGTGAACATTTGCATCTATAGTATGGGATGATACTGACTTGTTCCCAGAGGTGACATAGTTTCTTAAGGCTTGATTTCTGAGCAGTGGATTTGGCCGCACCCGTAATTTCGGCCAGGAGAAGGCTTTGAACCTCCACCTACATTAACAAGCACAATGGATCAACAGTCTGTAAGAATAAATCAAAAGGCTGTGCAGAGCAATGCTAAAATACACATTAAACCTAAATGGGAAAAGGCATAATGTGCTCGTGCCTGTTATATAGTTATAATTTATGACATTTGTGAATCATATTTTATCCATTTTAAAATTTGATATTCTACTAAATGTAATTTATATTATTGAATAAGAATCCTTTGTTATAGTGTAAATTAGGGCTGCAAGATATTAAAAAAATATATATTGTTGTGATATTGGTGCGTGCAATATCCATATTGAAAAGACTGTGATAAAAAAAAAAGAATCCCTTTATTAAAGACAAGACACATCAACGTTCAACAAGAACAAACAAACAAATGTAAATATATGCATTTGAATGTCATTAATGTTGTGCTTATATTTTGTTATTTGTCTCTTGCGTGTCAGATTGCAATTTTAGGTGAAAGACAAAAATATCGCAAAAATATCATTATCGAAATACTAAATGCTCATATCGAATCGAATATCGCACTAATTTCCATAATCGTGCAGCCCAAGTATAAATTGCTGGTTAGTTGCACTTTTAGAAAGAAAATTTTAATAAAACAGTAATCAGCAAACAGTCCTTTTTCCCTTTGTGCCAAAATGGCAACGCAACGAATGAACAATATTATAACTGATTATGGAAATCGAGAAAACAACAAATCAATAATAAAACACATGAAAGAGAAAGTACTTTTCAAATTGTGAAGAGTGAATATTTTTATGACAAGTGATAGTTAGTCTGGCAGGTCATTTAATTAATTCATTAAATGTATTCAAATAATTTCGGTCGCTCGTCATTGGTTTAACTCCTCCTTCTGGAAATCACAGTTATGTTAGAGGAGGGACGAATACAAATACATTACTATCGAGAAAAAAAATACTTCAATGTCCCATGGTTAGTAATACATTAATTTTAAGATTAGTTGCTGACATCCCCTTTAATAACAATAGAAAAGTGGGTGTGTAACAGCAAAAAATTAGGATTGTTGGAGCCATTTTGAAAAGAGAATTAAGATTATCTGTACTCAAACGCAAGAGAATTACTGCGCAAGCACAGGACACACTTTTTCAACTCACCATTTTCTTCCAAAGAGGTCCTTCTCGTTTCTCTGGGTCAGAAAATACACTGCTGACTAGAAGGCATGTCCAGGAAAGGCCAACAAAGGCAGCGGAGGCGGAGGATTTACTGCAAATCGAAAATTAAATCACATACGCTCACAAAAATGTATTAATTCAGGTATTTATCAAGATGCCTGGTGTGTCTACTGCACCTGGGATCACCGTTGACGTTGACCACTCCACTGTTGAGCAGCCACTGGAGCAGGTTGGCGACCAGGATGTCCGGCTGACTCTCAGCCAGCTGGGCGATAACGGAGAGCAGCGCGCTTCGGGATGCGGCATCCCTGGAAACAGAGAGAGAGAGACAGAGAGACAAAGAGAGAGAGACAGAGACATACACAGAGAGACACAAAGACAGAGAGCGAGACAGAGACATACACAGAGAGAGACACAGAGACATAGACAGAGAGAGAGAGACAGAGACATACACAGAGAGAGACAGACAAAGAGAGCGAGACAGACACACAGAGAGAGGGACAAAGAGAGAGAGAGACAGAGACATACAGAGAGACACAAAGACAGAGAGCGAGACAGAGACATACACAGAGAGACACAACGACAGAGAGCGAGACAGAGACATACACAGAGAGACACAAAGACAGAGAGCGAGACAGAGACATACACAGAGAGAGAGAGACAAAGAGAGAGAGACAGAGACATACACAGAGAGACACAAAGACAGAGAGCGAGACAGAGACATACACAGAGAGAGAGAGACAAAGAGAGAGAGACAGAGACATACACAGAGAGAGAGAGACAGAGACATACACAGAGAGACACAAAGACAGAGAGCGAGACAGAGACATACACAGAGAGAGAGAGAGACAAAGAGAGAGAGACAGAGACATACACAGAGAGACACAAAGACAGAGAGCGAGACAGAGACATACACAGAGAGAGAGAGAGACAAAGAGTTAACATAAAAATTATTATTCCTGTGTATTTCAAGGATTTTGGAATCTAATAACAATCTATAACCTCGCTTCCAAAACTTTGAAGACTAGTTCTCACATGCATATATTTTTGGCCTATATTACATCTTTAGAGTTTCAGTTTTTTTATTAAAAAAAGTTTACAAGTTTACAAAGAAGAAGATCACCCCCACTCAATCATGCTTTCATTTAAGATAGGCTGATGTCTTACTTTTTATTTCTACATTTTACCAACTTTAACACAGTACACAAACAAATCTTCATTTAGAGATAGTCCTTATTAGAGTGTTTTTAAATATTTTTTAATTGAAAGGTAAAAAAAATCATACCGGTATCTGTGAGGTGTGAGGCAGAAGAGTTTGCACAGTCCTTTGATGGCTGGCTCTGGTAAAGCTGCATGGAGAAAATAAAATGTAAATAAGGAGTTATAAAAATAAAACACAAACAAAACACTGGTAAAATATACTTACTTTTTCCTTTTAGACATTTTCTGAGTTCCGCACAAATCTCTTTGCGCTCATTGACACTGGCTGTGGTCACCCTCACAGCAAACCTCTTCAGTGTATCTGTAACCTGAAACGTCATTATGAATTATCAACGTGTCTTTTATTTGGTGTATAGAAACTGTATTGATCCACAAAGACACATTGCTCACACAATTTATAATATAAAATAAAAACTAACTTTTTTGTGCCCTTTAGTGTTCACACTAAAGGGCACAAAAGTGTGACAAAAGGCCAAAAACTCATGTATCCAAACACCTCCTCTGTCCTTTAGAAGTTGCTAGAACAAAACTGTTTTATACATTAGACAAGTTTCCTAAAGCTGCCCTGTTTATTTTATGTAACGGACGTGATTTGACGGAATGAGCTTTGCGGAAGTTTTTTACGTATTTTCAGATCCACATTTGATTCAGAGATTCTATTTTGTTTACATAGAATAGAAACAAAGTGATACTTTCATATTGTCCACCAATTAAATGTGAAACCAGACCAGCTTTTTGTTTCTCAAGTTTAATTGTCAGAGAAAAATGGCCTGAAACCATCACGTCCGTTACACATTTTTCAAGGGCCATTTATTTTTTTAACAACCTTTTTATATCAAGTGATTTACTGATGTTGTGATAACCATGTAAATCTTGTGGGATTTTATCTGCCGCTTTTTCAGACTGAGGACATGTTATTTTCTATGTAACCGGCATCACAGTAGAATGGTCCAATCAGAGGCTGATTTGGTCGTTTAAAATGTGCCAAAAATATATTTGTAAATCTTTCCTTTTGATTTTATCCACACTATCTCTTCAATGAATCTGTATTTGAAATCTTTTATTTTTTTTATTTTTTTTAGTTATAACCTTTTAAAGTCCAGATACTTTAATTGACACTTTACTGTGAACACACTATAAGGAAAAAACCGTATTTCTATTGTTTTTGTTGATTCAAACAAACATCAGTGATGCCCAAGAGCATAAATCGTGTTAATTATAAAACGTGCACGAATAAAATACTATATTGATTAGTTCTAGCCTGTTTTTTAGGCTGAAATCGAAATCAATTAAATGTAAAACAGTGAAAATGAGTCGAGGGAGGAGCCAATCCTTATTCTTCATGTTTTATGTTTTCTCAAAAAGCTCGTGATTTTCATGCGATGACAATAATCTGATGATTTTAACACCGTCACAACAGAACACAATCATGTATTTAGTGGTGATATCTTAAAACACGTTTATTCTCCAAGAGTTCTCTCAGAGTTCTAGCTAAAGATGGAGCCAGTGGGAGTAACGTTACGTAGCACAAAGCTAGTGTAGCCGCAGAGCTAACGAGTGAATAACAGCGGATAATCCACCACCATTTCACCAACAGTCCCGTATATCCACACAGGCTTTGAATGGGCTCTAACGACAGCGCTCCATCTCTGCCGAATTATTGAAAGAATGAGAGAAAGTGGAACGTGGAGAAAAGCCACACAGACCTGCGCGTCCGCCGCCATCTTGCCGGCTGCTGCAGGAAGACGTTGGTCACGTGACTTCCGGATCAAGGCAGGGTTATTTTAATTTCATTTCTTGATTTACTTCAGATTGTTGTATAAGAGAACATTTAGGTCGACATAAAAACAATGATGAATTTAATGTTTAAAAACTACAGTGATGCATAACATGTTTGCACCTTCCAGCTTGACCACCAGAGGGCGCTATGTGTAAGACCTATCATGAGTACACATGGTGAACACATGGAGAGAACATCTGATCTCACGCTTATTAAAGGCCACTGTTTTGTATCTTACAGCGTAAACAGTTTACTGTAAATCGCTGTTTCTAAAATACCATACGATTGTTAAGCACTTGACTTGGTTTGTTTGTTTACCGAGGAGATGGTACTGTTAGTATTAGATAGCAATTCCGTCTCTGTCTGCTTCATTCCTGACAGTACTTTACACAGAATTCTAGGTTGTTGCTTCTTCTTTTCTCCACTGTTCTTATGAAGGATGGACTGTTGGCATTGGTGCAAATCAAGTAATGCTATGCTAAGAAATGTGTTTTGTGTCTAAATGCGTTTTGAATTTGGTCTTGCAGAAGCCTGATTTATCCTATTTCTAACAAAACATACATATATCTACTGTGGGGCGAGTAAAGGTTCTCTTATATAATAACACATTTTAAAGCTCCCCAGGGTCTGTTTTGATGGTGGGAACATAGACTTGTTTCAGATAAGAGTCAATGGGTTTATTTTCCAGGTGGTACAGTACTTAAAAATTTGTTTTTTTTATTTCCAAATGACCCCAAGCACGATTTAAGGTTTTATACATTAATATATACATACATATATCCAAAATGTACAGAAAGTGTAAGTAGCTTTTTAGATTTAATTTTGATTCTATAAGAACTGTTTACTTTCCTTTATCTCAATGACAGTCTTTCACATAAAGAGATTAGGTCATAGTTTATTCTAAATAATAATTATAACAACAATAATAACACACATGAGACATTTTATTACACTTTTTTTAATGGCAACTTAAACATAGCAAAAACTGCTGTTATCTAATATTGTAATAAAATACTACTTAATTTGGCACGTTCAAATGTTTGCTTAGATTGTCCCTTTACCATAAGAAACATTCACCAACACAAAACCATTAACTTCCATTAATGAATCCTATGACACATCAAGAAAATGTAAATATGGACAAAGCTCTACTATTGAATACAGAGCTGATTGCTTTCACACGTTCATAACATTAGTGATTGACATGTCTATATAATCATCAGCTTTGAGGCTTTTCCCTGTGAACAATCTTTGCAGTCACCTGGGTCTGAACAGCTGCAAAACTTATATTAAGTTATTAAAAAGGTCTATTATAAAACAGTGAATAACCAACACAGTATGAACTAATACGACATTAAACCATATTGTGATACCTGCTTTCAGATAGGGAGCCATTAATTCAAATATTCTACATTCATAACTCAACAATGTTAAAGTTTGTCCATAGAGACACGTTGATAGCTTGATCTCCTTCTTATAACTGAGTAGGTGGCTTATGCACTTGCTGACATGTGAGTGGTACCGTAATCAACAGAATGTAATGAGGAGTTTCCATAAATATTTCTACAACAGAGGATTAAGTAGTTCAAGGCAAAACCCAACCTTTCACCCTGAACAAATGCAGTCCGTGTCACAAAAGACTTAGTTCTGTGCACTTTCCACGATGGCGTACACTATGAGTCCGATAATGACGGCTCCCACTGCGATCCCGACTCCGATGAAGATGATTTTCATTTTGTTGTTTTGCCACTGTTTCTGCTGCTTCACCTTCACAGTCGTCTTTTCAAAGGCTTTACTCTGGAAGACAAAAGTACAACTATATTTAAGATACTTCAGATAAGACAAGATTTAAGACATCTATAAGGTTTTATTTGTGTTACTTTTGGTCATTACACAAAATCTTTAAATTGTATATTTTGGAATATCATGTTTTGAAATGCAAAATACATATTTCTTAAAGGAATAGTTCACCGTTTTTACATACTGACATATGTTCTTACCTTACCTTAGACTAGTTAATACGTACCTGTCTGGTCTTAGTCCGTGCGCTCTGTCATGCAAACGGAGCAAAAACGGGAGCACAAACGCAGCCTCCTCTGTATACTGTGTAGGACCAAAAGGTAGCTCCCGCTAGAAGCTACCAAACTCTTCCAAGTGTTCCCTATTAAATGTATATAGTTACGTGACGTGTTACACTGCAAAGTATAGTAACACAGAAATGTAACTGTCGATTTTCTCAGCGGATAAAACGGGTACTATATTGTGAGGCGTAGTAATCTGAGGAGCGCTACGTCCGCGCACTAACTTCTCTCCGGAGACTTCTCTCTCGCTCACTTCCGTCAATAGAAGCAGCGTGACTTGTAGTACGGAGAGAAGTTAGTGCGCGGACGTAGCGCTCCTCAGATTACTACGCCTCACAATATAGTACATGACAGAGCGCACGGACTAAGACCAGACAGGTACATATTAACTAGTCTAAGGTAAGGTAAGAACATATGTCAGTATGTAAAAACTGTGAACTATTCCTTTAAGTAGGTTCAACATGCTCACTGGAGAAATGAAGATGAAACACATCCCTCTGGTGGTAGACGTTGGATATTACATTCTGCTTTTTTTTAAAGAAGAATTATTATTTCATTAATTACATTATAATGATAGTATTTTCTTTTTCATTTCATGTTTTACAAAGTGAAATAATATCTTCAGTAGAAATAATCTGGTGAGACAAGTATGAAAGGTAGAATAATGCTTTCTGCCTGTAACTCTGTATGCTAACACCAGAGGGAGGAGTTTCATTGGTTTTGTTTTCATCCGAATTTGAAAAAAAAAGAAAAAAAAAAGCACACCGCAAACACAGCTATGTGATATAAATAGTTTTGGCAAGAAATTGCCAAAACTGATTTCTGAGTCAGGAAGTTCCTCATAATGGCATGGCTGAGCTAAAACGCCACATCCCTCGTCTGTTTTTGAGTTTAAAGATCTGAGAAACAAAGAATTTGCAAATAATAATAAAAACAAAAACATAAACCATGTAAAGTAGCAGAGAATGGGCAGAAAAAAAGGTAAAGTGAGGCGTGGACATTTGTAGTGCTACATTTCACATTCTGTTATGTCCCTGTGGGGAAATGTCTCCTCTGCATTTGATGGCTTAGTCAGGACCAGAGCTGGAGGAATTTTACCTATAGTAAATGTTTATATTGGTAAGTGAAACCAGAGCACCAGGAGGAAACCAGACGTGGATAGAAAATTCAAAGTCCATTCAGAAAGACCCTGTTCAGACCAGAACTATCGTATTGAAATGTCACTTCTGATAATCTAGGTGCCATTTCTAACATTGTGCAACCCGAGTAAAAGCAAGCACATCAGTAATGAACCTACCCGACAGAAATATGCTCTTTAATGAACAAACATGACATGGAGCAGATTTCATAATTGACCAAGGTTGTCGGAAACTATTGTAATATTGTTTTTTCCCTTTACAACAATGCCCCATAATTAACACACTTTGGTCTGGACATCCTCCATAGTTCCTCAATTGGTCCGCCTTGTTTATGCACTGCTAATTTTGGGTCCAAGGCCTTTTTTAGCTCCTACAAAAACACTCACTTTTCCTATGTGCGTCCCTGGGCTGCTGTGTGATGGAAGGAGTCCCGCACATGGGAAGGGGGTGACCCAATAATCGACCCGGATGGACCGTTGTACCCAGCTCTCCTTTCTTCATCTTAGGAAACAATAAGAAATACCTTTCCCAAAATATCCCCCATCAGGATGTAAAATTGCTACATTTGTTTTTCCTCAGCCCTCCACCGTGAGAGTATTTATAGGCCACAAAATGACATTTCCGAGGCTGAATCCTAAGACGCTGCTTTGTGGTATGTGTTATTATATCAGTTAAGCTCATCCGTTTGACCCAGGAGTTAAAAATAGATGTTCAATACAAGCATTATCTTGTTTTACAGTATTCCCTTGTTAAAGCAGACTTTGAAAAATAACTATGTAACAACATTCATGTGACTATTTAAGCCCTAAAAGTTCTATCACTAGTTCACACGATGTATTTTAGACCTTTAAAGACATCTTTCACAAATGAATAAATTATGTCAACAGAAAATCTTGCCAATTTTGCTACATTTTAAGTTTTAAATGTGCTTTTCGTGCTGAAAACCATTGTGCTCTGGATATTCGTTACCACAGAGAGACTGTAAACTGTAAAAAGAGATATTCATTTTCTTTTCTCACATGTTTTAGTTAGTAAGCGTGGGAGTTGTGTGTTCCTCTGGTGTTTTGTTATACATTTTTTGTTGCTATTTTACTACTTGTTGCAGCAATTTATCAACAATGTGAAGTTTTACCATTCTATTACACCCTGGTACCACAACATTCTGGCACTGAACTGAACTTTACATATTGCAGTGTACTTTGACCTTGACTTTTCATTACAATTTCTTTGCCCGTCTTGGAATGTGTGTAATTGCGACCCAAAGACACATTTCTGTCATCCCTTCACATGATTGACAATAAAGTTACTCTGTTTTTCACTGACAAAGCTGGCAAGAACTACATCCAAACTGTTTCGAGAGCAAGAAACTAGTTAAATGGATTCACAAAGTTACACAACCCCCCAAAAACCACAGTATGTCTCTGTGGTGATAATCGGTCACCTTCAGCAGCATCATGTCTGCGCGCTCCTCCAGGTCGCTGAGTTTTCCCGCTCTTTCGTCGGCTTTGTTTAAATTGTCCAACATTATGACTTTGACCTCGTCCACCTCCTCCTGGGTTTTCTGCAGGCGGCTCTTTCCATTATCCTAAAAGACAGCAGAAAAAGAGGATTAGATTCACCATAACAAAGAAAGGGTGACCAGATTTGAACATGTTAAAACTCAAACTCTTGTTCATTTGGCCAATGGGCTCAAAACTGGGATGATCCTGGATAAAAACTAGGTAACATCTGGTCACCCTAAACAAGGAATTAAGATACTGGAAAAGCTAAACATGTTTGAGGGTAAACAAGACTGAAAGTCACTCAGTGCACTGCAGTATGATTACGTTCTTTTGCTTCTTTCTGGGCTGAGGATATAGTGAGAAAATGACCCTATTTGTAATTGATAAATGTCCCAAACGCAATGTGCAAAACATCAAGTAACATTTTACAGAGACAGCAGTACTTCCTTTGCTGTACTTCTGCAACACGGATGTTTCTCCACTGTAGATTGAATAACAGGCAGCGGTTCAAGTGGGTTGTGACCCAAATGATCCAAAGATCCTGTAACCAATCATTTTTAGAAGGTCACAAGCCTTTCTTGGATAACATTTAAAAATGTGTATCTACTAAACTGTAAAAAAAAAAAAAAAAAAAACATAATCTAAAAATAAGTACTCCGGCCCGGACTCCAGCCCGGACTCCAGCCCGGACTCCAGCCCGGACTCCAGCCCGGACTCCAGCCCGGACTCCAGCCCGGACTCCAGCCCGGACTCCAGCCCGGACTCCAGCCCGGACTCCAGCCCGGACTCCAGCCCGGACTCCAGCCCGGACTCCAGCCCGGACTCCAGCCCGGACTCCAGCCCGGACTCCAGCCCGGACTCCAGCCCGGACTCCAGCCCGGACTCCAGCCCGGACTCCAGCCCGGACTCCAGCCCGGACTCCAGCCCGGACTCCAGCCCGACTCCAGCCGGACTCCAGCCCGGACTCCAGCCCGGACTCCAGCCCGGACTCCAGCCCGGACTCCAGCCCGGACTCCAGCCCGGACTCCAGCCCGGACTCCAGCCCGGACTCCAGCCCGGACTCCAGCCCGGACTCTGAGGAGCACAGGGACTGGACTCCTGTTAGTGCCCAGAGTCAGGACTAAACATGGGGAGGCTGCTTTTCAGATTCATGCTGGAAAAAATCTGGAACAGTCTTCCTGAAGATGTGAGACAGGCCTCCTCAATGACAATGTTTAAAACCAGGTTAAAGACAGTTCTGTTTAGCTGTGCATACAACTGAGGGATTTTATATTTTTATCTTCCTTTTTAATGTTCTGTGATTATTTATGATTTTAATGCTTTCTTTTTGTTCAGCACTTTGAGTTTCCTTGTGTATGAATTGTGCTATATAAATAAACTTGCCTTGCCTTAAAAAGGTACCAACAAAATAATTGGTGCACACTAGGTGCAGAGACTTCCCCCGAGATACGAGACTGACACGAGACTGACACGAGAATGGCCAAGTGGAAAATCATTTCTTTATTTCCAGAGTTACGTTCATTAGGTTTAACTTTGTAGAATACAGTACAAAAATAATGTGAAAAAATACAGTATTTTCCATTATATATACAAACTAAATCTAGTTTGTGGTGTTGATGTTCCAGTTGAGAACCTCTGAAACAAAACCATCTCTTTATCTTCAAATCAAAAGTGAAATCACAGCTATTCATTCAATGATTACAACAGAGAAGGCGTGGCACCGTAAACAAACTGAAACTGAAGGGGCAGTAAAAGCACTTCGAACGCCCAGTTAATAATCTCAAGATTCAATAATTTATTTGCCATTTACAGTAAAAGCACAGCTCGAGACTCTTGATCTCTTGACGTTAATCATTTAACGTGAGACACTTTGGGCTGTTGTATATTTGGCGGGTTAAATGTCTTGGTCTGTTCACGTACGATACAATGAGTTGCGTTTGTCCTTAATAAAAAACTAGAAAAGAACTGGGAATATTAATCATTGAAAGCATCAGTCACGCTCCAATCTCCTCTAACAAAGAAGTTACAGCAAAGAAGAGATTCACCCATGTTCTGTTACGTATTGCCACCAGCACATTCAACTATGGAAAAATATGTTCTTGATAAATAGCAATATAAGTGAAAGGGAAATAATAACATAGCAATTGGCTCAGATTAGTAAAATAACCAAACTATAAACAAGTAAAAGCCCCTTGTCATCTGCCATTCTTCCTAGTTGTATAGAAATGTGTTTTTGTTTTGCCGCTGAACTTGACATTTTGCCAGTTTAACCAGTTACAAAAGGGCGGGTTGTTTTTCTAACTCAATGTCAAAATGCAATGTGTCGTGATATCAGTTTTATTGACTTTCTGTGCCTGCATTGTACACCCTTTCCTCCATCACTCAGCAGCAGGAGACGCTCAAAATCTCACAAACACAACTTCCTGTAGACAACTGAATAATGAGACGGGGTTGACACCAAAGTTTCAACATAATATTATCAGTAAAAACCCTTTAACCTTTTATTCCCAGCTGTGTTTGGCCAGAAATGACTGCTGTTTTACTATCAGACACTTCATACTGTTATCACCCTCTTCAATATCACCAAAAATGTGTAAAAAAAATTATGAAACCGATGCATTGTTATTATTATTATTATTATTATTATTATTATTATTACAAACTCGAGTTTCACCATATTAATATTATAATTTTTCTTTTATCTCACATTTGCTTAAATTTTATAATGAATGTATCTGTTCCAGCCATTACGTGCTTGTGGTGAGGTGAAATGAATGTCCAATTTTATGAATGAATATTGCGTCACAGTGGGCGTGGCATGGGTGTGTGGTTGTGGATGTGTCATCATGGATGGGCTCCAGTGGGGGCAGGTCCCGGCTCAAAAGTGGCCAAAATGACGTGCGCCGACATTGGCACGATGGGGGTGGATCAGAATAAGAATTAGCCAATGCTAACATATAGCATCTTCTTACCTCTCGGAAACGTCTTTACAGGATGGTCCAAAAGTTGGCTCTTGGCCCAAAGCTCCGTTCCACATGTGTGTCAATGCTGAGGGGGGTGTTTTGGACCAGTCTAGTTTAGTCGCTGTGAATTTTTTAAGTCACTCGTTTAAATGAATGGAGCTCGTGCAGCTGATTCATGTGCAGATGTGTTTTTTCACATATTCAAGCCCCCGCGGCCATTTTGAATCATTCAATGAAAGCACAATTTTTGGCCCATTAGTTAGAACGGTGGAGATAAGCGTAACTACGTTCGTTAATACAGTCTATGGTGGGCTCTCCAGTGCAGGTGCGTGAGTGACTGGGTGAGCACACAGTTTTTGACTGCTTTTATCCGCTCAATGAGCAAAGTATTCTTGTTCCTCTTTTTTTGTAAATCAATAAAGTGTATAAAATGAAAGGCTCAAGTTTAGCGCGTCACTTCTCCCAGTCACAAATGGTCAGTACAGTATTTTCCCTTGAAAAGCGACATTAAGTCCCTTTGACAATAATAATAACCCATCCATCCATCCATTTTCTTCCCCTTAATCCATTTCTGGGTCGGGGGGGTGGCAGTCAGAGTTGCACCCAGTACACAGAGCACCAGCCCCTCACTGATCCTCCTGCAGGTGGTGAGTCCACAGGAGCTGAGATCTTTTCAGTTGGGGCTTTGGGCAAAGTAGGGTTAAGTGTCTTGCCCAAGGACACAACGACAGCAGTCATCAGTGGGAGTCCTGAAGTAGGTCTTGAGGTGGGCTCGAACCCACGACCTTCAGGCCCAAAGGCCAATGCTCTACCAACTGAGCTACTGTCGCCCCTTATTATTATTATTATTATTATCATCATATATGGCATTGGCTCTTTAAAGGCTGCAGCTGTAAAGTGCCAAACTGTTATTGTGTCCTTTGGCAAGACACTTCACCCACATTGCCAAGAATCACTGGTTGCCTCGCTTCTGTCAGTGTGCCCCAGGGCAGCTGTGGCTACAATCGCAGTTTATCACCACTGTGTATGGAGTGAAAGAATAACGACTTTGAGTGTCCAAAAAAGCATTATTATTATTATTAAAATTATGATTAGACGATTTTTATTTGATTTCAGTCCAATCTGCAGTGAACCAATAATGTAGCAATACACATATTTAATGCTTTGCCATTCTTCATTCATATTTTTGTGTCAGTTTTGCAATGATAGTGTCGGGTTTCCATTGAATACAAGCCTCTCTGTGTGAGTCTGTGCAGAGAGCTGTGGCCATGCGGTTTGGGAGCGCTTGGTTTGTTGTAACAGAAAACACGGATGACTGCGAAAGAAAAACCTGTTCGGCCGCTTTTCACCACCATCACATAAGGGCTGTTTTTTATTCAGGTGTCACTTGGCAGGAGGGCGGGCTGTGCCAAGAATCCAAAGATTGACAAGTTTAATCTCAATTATTAACATTTACATAAAGGCTGTGTGTCACATTTTCAAGTGCTTTTAAATAGAGAGACAGTCCTGAGGCAGTATATCACAAGTTTACAAAGCACAAGTGAAAACAGAATTTCTCCACTCCAATCTATCTGATTCTAATACAGTTGAGCTGCATGCATACACATCAATAGGACTGGACAACAGGCAATGAAGCGGCTAAGAGCGCAGGGGAAAGGCAAACTTAAAGTGAAAAAAAGTATGTATTTGGACAGACACTTTCTCATTTTATTCGGGATCAATACATAGTTCCTTTCAGCACTATTGACCCCTTGCAGGTGATGTCCCGGCCACGCCCACTCTCCATGACAGACGGCGGAAGTCTAACTGCGAGCCTTCGGAAACTTGACCAAAACAACCGAATAACAGCCAAAACTGAAATTTGGCAGTGCGGTTGGTTGCACTAACAGGCAAGGACATAAGCCAAATGTGTTTTTTTATCCTGCTCGTCATGAAGACAGAAGACGACGATGGCGGCAATCAACCAAAAGGACTGGGAGCCGTCCAATGACTCCCTAATTTGCAGTGAACACTTTTTACAAGATAAATCAATTACAATTTTGAATTTATTCTCTTTCCGTAAATATATCTGGAGGACAATGACACGAGGAACGCTTAAAGTCAAGCGTGTGCTGTCCTGTATGTGCGCTGCAAGATTGAAATTTCCTCACTGTGGCACGAATAAAAGATCTCTTATCTTAGACGTAAGTTGCGTTTTTCACTATTTTCCTCCCTGTCAATATGCATCATGTTTGGCTGTAAACAGAAAAGTGCATTGTTAATGTGCTAATGCTACCAGCAAAATGTAAATTTAAATCTACTCCAGTGTGAGGAGATTCATTGTTAACGACATTATGATAAAGATCATGTGGGGTGAATTCGGGCAAAATTGGACATTTAATATAAATCGATAAAATTAAAAACAGGAATCATGGCGCTTTTAAGAGCGTTGTGGAATTGCTGTATCCTGCAGCACCTGTAAATATAATGTGTTAATACAATTGCAGAGCGTTTGCTTATAACATATGTATGATGGAAGATTTATTTACAATGATAGTTAAAAAGTTTGAGTAAAAAGGTAAAAACGTCCTTGAAAGCGTCCTTGGGTCTGGAGCTTTGAACGGCTTCTCCGCAGGGTGCACAGAGACAGGCCCCCAGAGACAGGCCCCCAGAATCCCATCAGATTGAGTGAATTTGTTTGAATGCACTCAGTATTCTTATGCTTCGTAAACACACTCGGTGTCAGTGGTGTGAGAGGCTGAAGAGGAGTTACATAACACACTGGGGACAGAACAGAGCCTGGGACTAACTCAAGTTTGTCCGGGACTGCACATTTTTGTAAGAGACGTTTACTTGTTGAATGGATTATACAACTCCCCTGGTTTGTTCTGATGTAAAAAAAAAAAACAAAAAAACAAAACAAACTGATGAATATTGTAGTCATAAAGTTATAAATATTTTTTATTATTAAAATATTAAACTTTTTATTACCTCTAATGCAAAATGACCACAGGAGTAGCATGGTCACACTTTCAGAAGCGCCCTCTTCCCTAAATAAGGCGATATAATAAGAGGTCCAGTGGTCCGCTTCTGGTTAGCGTACCCAAATCACGGCTGAAAACCAGAGGTGACTTTTTGCTGAAGCTGCTCCTAAACTCTGGAACAGCCTCCCCTTGTCTATTCAAAGTCAGCTTCTTAAGACTTTATTAAAAACTAGGAGGTGTTGCACTGCTGTAATATTTGTTCTGATTCTACTATAGCCTTTTATTTGATTTTTTTATTCATTTTATTATTATTATTATTATTATTTTGTATTTGATGTATTATACTGTGCAGCGCTTTGGGCAGCGATTGTTGTTGTAAATGTGCTATAAAAAATAAACTTGACATTGACTTGACATAAATAGTACAGGGTTACAAGAAAAACATACGAGAATGTCCGAAAAAAAAAAATAAGGAAAACATCAAGGGATAACAAATTATAACAGTGGAAGAAAACGTTGATTTAATTTGTGTATTGGACCTCGTTGTGGCCCAGACTATACATCACAAGTCTGTACGAAGCTAGAACCAGTTGTTTGGACGGTTTTCTCATGATGATCACTCTTAGCCACTGGGTCACTATGTGCAAGTCCAAATATGTGCAAGTCTGAGCTTTCCTCTCTGTCTTTCCACATCATGGACCTACAGTAGAGTCCGAAAGAAGAATTGATAATGAAGCAACAGTTACTCACTCTTTTTCTCAAATAAAAACTGTGTTTGTTGCTTCTCCTTGACCTTTGTCCTTTGAGCTCAGAGCATCAGGAAGTAAGAGTTTGACAGGGACAGGAAACACCTCGATGCTCTTCATATTTCTGTCACTTCCTCCAAACTTCTAACAATAGTGCCGTTTTTTGAGCCCACCGCTCACCTCATGGTCCAGACGAAAACCTGCCCGACGAAGCAGGACTTAACCAGGTGCAGAACGGGATTAAAGCACAAACCGACTACACTGAATAACGCGCTTCTGTCTGAAATGTAGTGATCATGTTTGGCTCAGTACATCTGAAAATCTCAATATTGATCTAAAACATGGGTGTCAAAGTCAGGGCCCGGGGGCGAGATCTGGCCTGCGAATGAATTATCTTGGCCCCCGGGATGATATTTGATTAGTAAGTAAGTAAGTAATTATTTATATACCGCCTTTTCACTGCAGAGCTGAGTCTCAAAGCGGTTTACAATTGTTATTTTTTTGGGCACTTGTCCACACAGAGATGGGAGCGGGGTCGCCAGTACAGAAGAAGAACTATTTTACATATTTTTAGCGGTAGGGGAAACCGGAGTACCCGGAGGAAACCTACGCAGACACAGGGAGAACATGCAAACTCCAATCAGAAAGGCCCTGGTCCGACCGGGATTCGAACCCAGGACCTTCTTGCTGAGAGGCGAGAGTGCTATCCACTCAGCCACCGTGCCGCCCAGTATCAGAACCAACCCGCACAGAGCCATAAGAAAATACTGGAGTACTCATTTAATGTTCAGTGTCCGCAGGCTCTTTGCCAATACTCTTGTCCGAGTTTGTGATCTTTGGATGATTCACCTGAATGCCTTTCTACTTCTGTTAGAAGTAGAAATATAGCATCATCTTTGAAGTCAAAGCTAGGCAATTATTTATTTCAAAAAGTATAGACAAAAAGCAAAGGGTAAGGAGTATTATGTAAAAGTATAGACAAGATACAGACAGAGTTTGAAACACCAGGGCTGCAGAACAAAACCACATTTTGTCTCACCCAAAGTTGCAAGTGATCTTGAATGTTTGCGTAAGCTAAACATCTCCTTGCCCACATACATCCTTCACTTATGATCATAGCAAAAACACACACACTGAAAAGGTCAAACATAGTGGTGATATAAAGTTACAACGCCTTTTTTAAACATTAAACCTTGTAAATGATGTCAATACTAAGCTGAGTGGAAAAACAGAATAATAATGATTTCTCTCGTTTGTACTTCCAGCTGTTATCTGTGCTGCTCACACCAGGATCGCGGTGTTCTACTCTAGGCGGTATTTGGAAAAGGACACTCATAATTAGCTCAGATTACAAGTCTGTGTGTGAAAACGGTTGACAGACATTAAATTGCATCATAGGATTGCAACATTGTAAGTATGAGGATGTTCAATCGATCTAATTAGCATATGTCAACATTGTATTCATCACCTTGTACTCCCATAATAACTATAATTGTATACATCTTAAGAACTCAATTGCTCCACCTTATTTTTACGCATTAATTTGTCAGAATAATTGTGGATTATAATATAAATATACAGGTTTTGGTGGTCATCATGACAATGTTTTTTTAAAATCAACACGTCTCAGAGTTCATTTCAATCTGGAGAAGTGGTCTGCTATAAACCTCACATTTCTAAAGGGGTGAGCAAGTTATGTATCCCTTATCAAAAAATAGATACAAGTGTTTCTCAGCTGATGATCGCATTTTTACGCAAAATTGATTTAAAAAAATATTTCTGTAGCAAAGAATCCTGACCTGATTGAGCAAAACCAAGGTCATTTTCGGACTCAGAGCATCAAAATTAGTCTAATTCAGCTGGAAAACCCTGGACTATTTTCAAAAAATATTTTTTGTTACCCAGTGTTATAGATTTTTCATGTAATAGTTTTTAAAAAATAAAATAAGAAAATGGATCAATATTGTACTTTAAACTGAATGTTCTGAAAAAAATATCAAATTGAAAGTCCCTTCCTGTATTGAGATAAATATTGCATCAGCAGTCTCGGAAGATACTTGTCCTATTTGTATATCATAATAATCTTCATTTTATTATGTATTTATTTATGTTTGTATGGATGATGTATTTCTGCTGCTAGACACCTGAACGTCTCTTACATGGATCAATAAAGTATCTATCAATCTTTCTTTTGTTTAAGCACAATACCATATTTATTCTCATTCTGAGCATAGACCGTGGACAATAGGAGTGGACCGACCTCACCATAGTGTTCTGTCCCCGCTCGCTAAAGCTGAATTCAGTAAAAAAAAACGTTCCTGATTGGTCATTCGTAAACAACTGACCAATCTGGATTTACAAAGACAATATCCCAATAGAAACACCAAGATCGCAGAGAGCGCTAAACCAACATGGTGAGTGTGGCACAAATGGTTAATGAGCGAGAGGAGTTTACTTTTTAACTTAAGTTGATAAGAGCCAGAGCGAGTAGGAACAAAACTTAGGGAGCTACAGGGGTTTAGCCTTTAGATTTAGATTCATTTATTTGCCATTTGCAGTAAAACCACATTGAAATACATTTTGAAAAGTCCCCACATACATAAAACAACATTAAAAAGTAAAGTTAATCCGTTATTCAGTGATTTCAGTCGATTTCTTTTGTAAATTAATGTACTGTAATTATTTATGGTTTACTTTGGATTATTTTTGCTATGCTTACTTTCATTTACTTTGTTTGACGAAGCACTTTGAGTTGCTTTGAGTACGACTTATGCATTACTGATAAACTTGCCCCGTTTTGCCAAATCCTATGTAAAATCATCACTGGAAAAACCACCTTTTTCGAGCGTATTTACTTTTCACAGCATCAGACTCAAAGCGTCACATGCACTTGTTCCTCAAAAGTCTGTAATGAAGTGCGGCGGCCGTGTGCCAGCTGGAGGACCAGTGCTGGACGCATGAACAATGGCGTGTTTAACATTCTGCAGGAGGAAGAGCTGCCCAGGCCAATCCTCCATTTCCTTCCTGTCATACCTCGCTCCCTAAAGCAGCATGAAGAAGATTACTGAAGATATCTGAGAGCTTACCTGTAAACCAGCGGAGAGGGGTGGAAAAGGCAATTGTCGCTGATAAAAATGAATCAGTAATATTGATCACTTGGACTTTTTAGTCTACATGTGACCTTTTATAACTGGGGTACCACAAAACCACAAAAAGAATTACATCTATCAGAGTACTTATCTTATTTTCACATGCCTTCTTCTTTAAACAGCCTTTTGAGATGGAAAAGTGACAAAGAGAAGACCACTCTCACTCAGCCAATTATCTTTCAGCCCAAAGCGTCAAATAGTGACATTCAGGGCTCTTTCTTACAACTATGTAAAAGATCAAATGGTTTCAAATAAAAGAAAAACAGCCACTTGTGGTCTATTTTGTTCATAACTTTTCTTTCTACAAGCACAAACCATTGTTGTATTTATGAGGAAAAATATAGGTACCAACTATAAAAAATACATATACATTTATTTATTTATTTCAGTTTCAAATCTCTTCATGTCTTAAAACAAAAGCTTACAATACATAAGAGCAAAAGAAGAACCAATTTGGACGATTTGGGAGGCAGAATGGTTAGTCACAACTGAAGGAGTAAGTGAAAGTAAAATGTTCAGAACAAACCAGACAACAAAATGCTGTCTCCATCTTACTATAAAAAAAAATAATCTTTGCATATTTGTAAAAACTGAGAGAGCTGATTGGCTGAGTGAGGGTGGTCCTCCCTCTCTCACGTTTGTTTAAAAAAGTGGATCTAAAAATGTGACACACAACAAAATGACCCAAACTGTTTTCAGAGAGGAGCAATATGGATGTACATAGTTTTGTTTTAGTAGTTTGAAAATTAGGTAACCCAGCTTTAAAGACGATGAATTATGTATATGTTATTGACCAGTGCATTAAAATTATTGACATTGTATACTTCTGATGACAACACGTGTATTCATAGTTCTGAGGTCCTCCTAAATTGTCATTAATGATATGCATCCAATAGTTTACAATTTCTTCCCCCCAGTTAATCTAATCTGAGCATTATATTGAGCTTAATTTCTTTTACACCTATGTTGACACCTATTTGGACTTTGCCCTCTTACTTCATGTCAGTGTTGCACATAACTGAAATGCAGACCAACTAGTTTCCATGTTTTAGGTATGTTTTGAGCATGCTTTAGTGCTATAGTTATAATTGTGGGGGATTGACGTACCATGGCTGCTGCTGCGTCTGCTGCCGCTGCGGCTGCTGATCTGCGTCTGCGTCGGCTGTCACCCGATCCACTGCATTGAGTTAAAAACCACGACTTCTTTCGGCGTGAAGCGACTTTAAAACAGCTACAAAACCCGTGTCTCTTCTTCCTCTTTGTTGACCGCAGAGAATAGTGCACAGGTGCTTTTCTCAGTCAGTTTTTGCGTCTTTTTCTCCACGCTCCTTCTGTCACTTTCACTTCTGTGACTTTCAGGCTGTGGTGTGTTCAGGGGCAACGCGGAAACTTTATGGTTGGGAAAGACGCGCAAACGCCCCTCCCACCCATAGACTGTAAAACTCCCACATCAGGCCGTTTCAACAACACACACGCTCACGTTTAATAACTGTGGGTGTAACTAATTATTTTGTAATCCGATATTGCAGTAATATATTCCGCATTGGAGTAACTCAGGAGTGTTTCTTACAAAAGTGAAAATTAGTTATAAAAATGGAAAAATACTAGTTCCAATTAACTAGTGCAGAAGTGCTTGAAGTAATATTTGATGAGATATAACCACAGACTTTGTATAGATGGACAATGCTTAACCCTAGCTCAATGAATCCCAAATATGGAAGTGCTCATGGGCGAAGCAGCAATGCCCCTTATCTTCTGTGAGCAGACTATGCACCGTACACTATCATCACTCTTGTGTGTGTCGGTTGTAGTTTTTAGATAGAAATTAAAATCGGCATGCATGGTCCTGTGAGTTAATGACATAGACTGTTTAAAGGTGGACAATGTTAATCCTCAAACTCAATGGAGCCCAATAGGGAAGCGCTCATGGATGAAGTTTTGCTCCAACTTGCTCTGGCTCCTATTTACTAACATTGAACAGTCAACTCTTCTTGCTCAATAACCATTTGTGTCACACTCACCATTTTGGCCGTAAA